CGTTAAAATTTATTTTAACGTGTACTACATGCAGTACTGTTCTAACATACACAAAATATCTTTGGTAGAATTTATAAAGATTTCCATGAAATTTGTTTGATATACATATACATTTGTGTATGTTTAATTTCTTGATAATTTTAGGTTGAAAAGAATATGCCACTGATTCTGAACGCTATCGCAATGTGATTTGAGTCTTATCTCAAACGTGATAAGATTCAATATCCATCTAAAATCGTTTTATTTTTTGATTGATATGGGAAAATTATAATGATGAAGAAAAAAATACTTCTTCAAAATCAGAATTGTGTCAAAACATGTAGCTACGGCGCAATAGGATACTACAATACGTATAATTATTGAAGACGTCAAATATCTTAACCCATCTTAAGTAAACACAATCAGCATGCGAGGTCACTCGTGTCTACACATACACCATGAAGTTGTTGTCCTAGTAATAACGATCTAAAATAATTTAAACTGCGTAATATCTATTTTCTTAAAGCATCATAATTGTTAATTGCGGTTAAATCAGATTGTGGTACCAAAATAGTATACTTTCTTTTAATTAAAAAAAATTATACCAGCGAGACTCGAACGCACGACCTCAGCTATTTGTGCTGTTGTTCTACTGTGTTTGGCTCGTCTCATCGATTTTTTTGTAAATCCATTTAAACATGCAACTCTCGTATCATCACACTTACGTATTTAAATATAAAACTATATTATCTGAATAAAAAACGTTTTAAATGCGCTTGCGCCGTTCTTGTTATCGGGTTATTGTATTATGAAAATTGCTCTCTAGTAATGGTTAATATTGTATTACCCAGTAGCAAATCATTGTTTTTCGGGCTCTTGAGGTTCTCGACGTTTCGTCACCACGAGCGGACGGCTTCATCAGGTGTTAGCTCCTCAATTGTTCGAAGAATTATGTGACGTCGACTGAACAGCCAGAAAAACAATGATATGCTGAACGATGGCCGTGAAAGCCTTACACAATTTATTGTATTAGTATTTCGTTCTTGCACAATTTAAGTTTTTAAACTTTGTATGTTTTTTTATATGTTATCATCATTAAATCCAAAAAAATATATATTTAGATTGAAAAAGTACACGGTAGCTCAAATGGTTAGAGCAGTGCTAGGGATGCCGATTCAAGTCCCGCCCATGTCGTCATTTCTTTCAATATAAATCTTTAGTTTATATCTACGCCAATAAATATGCACCATGTCCATTAAACGCTGTCGTCATATCCAACAATGTCAGCTATTCAGGGCATGTCCATACTTTGTGGCATTGTTTGATAATAATGGCTCGTCCTTCGATGGCAGGACAATAATAACAATATAATGTCACAACTCGGATTGCTTTGCCGTAATTAATTGTATCCTATCGATTTTCGTGACGTAGTTTTCCATTTTACACGTGTTCAATTAACGCGCGCGTGACTGTTACATACATTTTTTACTATTTATTTCTTTGCGCTTTTTATATTATTTTTCTAATATTCAGCCCTTAAAAGTCCTCTAACCACAATTATATATTTTTTTATGATAGAGGATGATAGATAAAAACGCTTGATGGTAGGTAAAATATCCCAAACATGTCGACCAACTTTGGCTTTGGATATAACCCACAGACTGAAACGCTATTTAAAAGGACGACTTTTTTATCTGTGGACTGTTATTTCTAATATCTAGATAGCTTATATGTTCTACAATAACATGTATTTTAAAATTTACTTAAGAATGTTTACTCGTAAGTAAGTATAAAATTTAGTATAAATCAAACTTGTAAGGACTTCTATGAATAGCGTGCAATGGGAGGCATTTCTTTCTGCAGTCACAGTTAAATTTATTAACTTATCAACAAATCGCGTTTAAACTCGTTAAAATAGTTTTATAACTAGCAAGCCAGTATCTGTATTCAACATCATAATAATATTATCATAATACGACTATTATTATGATTAAGGAAGCTGTACGCGCATGAATAGCTTGTAGGAACGCAGTTCTTCGTACAATATCTCTATCAAAATCTTAAAATAAGCACGGCTATGACCGGACATCTTGATCTACGCATTCACGTTGTTCATATATCTTTAAGTATATTGCGTATAAAATAATAATAGGCATATTAAAATGAAACACTAACGGTTTAAAACGCGATATATTTTATTTAAACTTGGTGAGACTACGGCTGCTGCGAAGCATTCGAAACGTCAGGCCGTAGTTAAAATTACTTTTAAATAAGTTTAATTAATATATATCGCGTTTTAAACCGTTAAATATGTTTATATAAATTATGTTACAGTTTTTTAACGATGACAGTTTTCTTTTTACAATTCAAATAATTCATTATTGTTTAGTGTGTGAGTGCTTAGGTAATGTTTAGAATTAAATCTTCAATAAATAAATGTTTTAAACTGCTTCTGTACATTTGGGAACAGAGAATATAATGGAATCAAATGCAATAAACAAATAAGATGAAAAAGTATGTGAAAGTAACGTAATAACAACAAAGAGCAATTAAACTGAAGCGCGAATTTCATAACATAGGAAATTCGTAAGAATACGTATCTAACGCGTTAAGTTTGAAGTGGAACGAATTAAGTAACACGTTGCGAAGTTTAGCATATGAAGACAATGGTTAATATGATGCTTGTAGTGTTAAAATTGTCAATTTAACGCGAAATTTAAAATGGCGTAACTGGAAAAGGTCGAAAAGGCCGTATTTATCACAGTCAGCGCCAACGATTTTAGCTTTAAAGTAATTTCTAGTACTAATTCTGTTCTTTATTTTCGTACCCTAAAGGTACAACGGGACTCTAATTCTATATAGACTCCAGGCTTGAGGCTATACGAACGAACATGATGCTGAAGTAACAATAATTATAGAAAAAAAACGACCATGAAGGCAGTTTGTATAGTCTTCTTTTGGGTCGAAAATACCGCACTGCAGATATCGTTCGGAAACCCACAAAGTTCAATAATTTTCTATTTTTTTTTTAACATTCCCCGCAGTTTCTTCTCTCCTATAAAATACAGCGCCTTCTTTTATAACCTAAAACCTTCCTCGATAAATGCTCCAACCGACAAACAATAATTTTGTAACTCGAACCAGTAGTTCACGTTCAAACAAACAAACTCTTCAGCTTTATATATTAGTATAGATATAGAACACAGAACTAATGAAACTTTGGTAAATATAAAAGACAAATAAGTTTTACGTGTGTATACCCAGTGTTTGTCCTAAAACTGTGCCGACACTTGAGTACATCTAGCCAACTGTACATATTTAGAATCTGTGCCGGAAAATATGAGTTTGTAGGTAACACTATTTTCTTTAGACGCATAAATTTAATTTTAATAACATTATATAATTTTAAATTAGCTAAACTTATTTATAGTTATATGTATTCTTGTTGAACTTTTTCCATTACTAGAAAAAGTACGAGCACAAGGATTTTTATATTTAGGAAGTAGTAGTGATAGTAAAAACGTATTTACAATTAATCTACGTTGTGATAGGTACAAATTAAGTTACGTAAATTGTAGAGTTCACGGTTTTGTAGATCTCTTATAGGCGTTAGTTCAAGATTTAACACAATTTATACTGTGGTGATATGTAGAGCATGCAAGAGGAGATGGTAACGATTTTTAGAGTTCCGCAACGACAGTGTACTTTGAGGCCTTACTAACTTTACTATTACTTGTTCTAAAATATTTTCTACTTATGAGTAATGGTTATTAATAATTGACCATGACGTTCTTCTATAGCTGTATCTATGAAAACCTACAGTAAACGTAACTTTTTTGTTGCTTTAAACATAATACAGAACCTTTGTGCGAGAATTGATCAGGACTTAAACAGTTTTATGTTTACTTAAATGAGCATCGATTTTAAACAGTATACACAAATCATAATTAAATAGAGCAAAGTATAAATAAGACTCTAGCTGGCAATTGTTTTTAATTTTTATGTAATTTTGCATTAAAATGAAACACTTTTAACTGTTTCAATCGTGAAATATATTAGTTACCTATTTGAAGTTTTCCAGTCACCACGACTTCTGTCAAGCATGCGAAACAACTGTTCGTAGTCAATCCAACAAAAACATAGACCTTAAAATTGTTTAGTGTTTTACTTAATAACCATGGAACTATAAATAAGCCAATAAGATTATCTCATGCTCACAACGCCATAGTTTCATAGGCCAATAAATAAATGAACAAAGGCACAACAGTGGAAAGCTGATCAGATTAAGATCTGGGGCATCCTATTGCATAATATGACCTCACTAGTAGACATCCATACAATTTAATTCTTATTAATTGCCGTTATTCATTTAATTCAATTAATTGTCGTGATTAGTTCTCATAAAAAAATAGAGGATCTTTATTTTTAGTTAAGTTTGCGATTTCGAACATAGCTGTTGCGTTTTTCAGAACTGCACGTTTAACCGCTGCACCACCGCGGAACTTTGTGAATAGGATACTTTACAAATAAAACTTTATAATGGTATAACTATTTAATCTCTTAGAAACTTGGAGTTTTCTTGTTTAAATTGATTAATTCGTTAGTGGTGAAAAAGTACCTCCCAAACATTTAATAAATCGTAGGGCATTTTAATAAAACACCTTAACCGTTAAAAGCGTGATATATGTCTGTCTCCCCGGGGAGACAGACATATATCGGCTGCTGCAAAGCTTCTGAAACGTCGGGCCGAAGTTAAAAATTATTTGCAAATAAGTTTAACTAATAGTGCGTTTTAAACCGTTGAAGTGTTTTATTTAAATGTGTACTAATTTAACTTAATTCTTTACTTTAATGCGGCTTATATTTTTAATTTCATACATACTCAATAGTTACTTACTAACTCCTTACTTTAAAAAATATGTTACATGATATCTACTGGTGTAGTGCATCTTTGATAGATCTTATAATTATGAATTTTGCTATGTAGTTATACTTAAAATTAACGTATAAATAAATTACAGCGAACAAACGTACAACCGCGGAGCAAAAGGTTTACATTTCAGTCAACAGTGAGACAACTGGAACGACGAAGACTCGCTGAAAAACTATCTAAAGAGGCAGACCTGAAGGAACAGCAGAGGAAAACCGAATTGGAAGCAATGAGGAGGTAAAGATTGTTCGTTAAAACATTAATAAGAAAAAAAATACGACTTCAACAGATATCCACAGCGTTCCACGCGGTTGCTTTTAATAATTGAGAGTTGACACGGTAGCTGAATTGTATAGTATAGTATAGTATAGTATAGCATTTATATTATACATATACATGTAAAAAATTAAAAAAGTTTTCAAATATACAAGTTCTTTGCAACTCAATTATGACTAAATTAAATTTTGCTACCCAAATATAAGTCATATTGTAAAGGTCATCCACTTGCTTAGTCCCCAACTTTATTTTTTATGTATTAATTTATTAGTAAAAATCTACCTAAGTCACGGGTCTAACATTAGTTAATAAAAATTTGAAACCTCTCATATTTTTACATGTACGTGATGACATTATCACAATTAAAAAAAATACGTCATGGGCGGGACTTGACCCGTATCTGGTAGCCCAATTGGTTATAGCTGCAGCACGGAACGTTGTGAATGCTAGTGTGAGTGTCGTATTTTAAATAGATTTTAATTTATATTAACAATTTATTACATATACGGACTCAACTTAATACCTGAACCGTGTAGTTATGATTAAAATTATTGAATTACAGAGTAGAGGAAGAGTTTCAGCGCAAACGTGCCAGAGAGAAGGCCAATATAAGACAGCAATTGCGTTTAGTCAGCAGCGGCGCTAGCAGCATGCCACACACCTCGCAAAATAAAGTAAAAAATAAGTTTTTATTTTGATATTAATTATTTGTTTGCTTTCCTTTGAGTTTAGTGTACATAATAGGGACCTATTTCTTAGACTACTGCCATCTGTCATTTTGTTGAAAAATTCCTGTTTCGAACGAATTAAGTATTTTTATTTATTCACCATAACTACTAAACGGTATGAAATAAAAAGGCGACGAAAAAGAATCGATATTTTTACCCACTACTACTCCGACTCACTATTATAATTCAGGAATCCATTTCTTACTTCCTACAGCTAAATTGTTAAACGTCTTGCCTACCGTTGTGTTAAGCGCGAAAGGTCCTGGGTTTGACTCCCGGGGACACAATAGAGTGTTTCGGTACAGAAGTCTGATCTGAGAATGGTGTTCGCCCCATGCCCTAAGGGGTTCTCCTCATTGGCTTGTACACATGTACGGTTTTGAAATGCAGTCATTTGTTTTTTGCAGGCAAGAGACGAGCCAGATGGTTCCTGCAGAGATTCCCCTGATCGCCTGCGAGATAGACAAAGGGTCAGCAATGGATCTGAAATCAGTGGACGCAGTAAGAGCTCTACGCCGGTAAGTGAGCTTTTAGAAAAGTTTATTTGCCTAGAGAAAATTTAAAAAATAATGAAAGAAAATAATATTTTAACTTAACAATATTCAACAAGTCACTCAACCAAACTCTATTTAATACTTGGTTGTGAAAGACCAAAAGCTTCGAATTCTAGGTAACCAATACCTAATATCTTTAGTTTACGCGAGCAGTTTACCTTTACATAAAATATATTAAACCATAAAACACTTTAACAGTTTAAAACGCGAAATAACCGAGTCTCACCGTAACCGAAACGTCAGGCTGTAGTTAAAAATAATTTCTAAACAAGTCTAACTAATATATTTCGCGTTTTAAACCTTAAAATGTTTTATTCAGCTAATTTGCTAACAAACCTCTTGTATATTATGGAAATTTATACTAAATAGTTTTGGTATGGACTTCATTTGTCGGACAATAAGACAACCACAAACAAATTCCAGATACGCAGCGTTGAGTTGTCAGAATGGCGAGTAGAAAATGGCGCTCGGGTTTACAGAGACTGGTCTGGAGCACTTGCAACGCATGCGCATCCTCCAGCTTGTGCGCGAATGCCCATGACCACGAATACACACGGTGAGTTTTACACTATTTATTTAGTTCTGGTTTTTTCTGCTTTGTGAAGGAGTTCAACAATTTTCCGGAGGTGTTTTTTTACCAAAACTTTCGTTTGATCGAAGACCTATGTCATTATACCATTATACAGTAGTCATTGAAGCTTTAATAGTATAAAGACTTTAAATATATGTCTCTTATGAGATTCCGAGGCTAACAAGGCTGTGTTATTAGCGACCACAATAATTATAGCAACATAATTAAGTGCTTGTAGTTATAAAAAGACAAAATTATGCTATACGTTAGCGCTTATTTGAATATGCGACTGCGTATGTATTTGCTATAAAATTTAAATATTTACAGCTCCACCTAGACCATAACATTTACGATTGCCATTGAACGTGCTATGTTGCTTAGCTGACCCTGTCATATTAACATATTTGTCTCAGATACGTTCCTAAACGCTTTTCTGCTTGTTACTAATGTTTTCGAGGTCGTGCAAATAAGCAGTTCTTACATTGTTAAGGTTTAGGTCCAAAGGGTAGAGTGTACCCTATTTCTAAAACTTCGCAGTTCTTCTTGTTCAGTGTCATGATCAATGTAAGATCGGTGAAGTTATTATGTTCTCATACCGATGCAAAATGAAGGTAGTAAACGATATGTGTATATTTTAGGTGGCTAATTGTTTAATCTTTCTTTTTCTAATCGTACTGAAAGAAAAGGGTCAAATAACAATTCTAAATATAGCTCAGAATCGATATAATCTTCCTGTCAAACTGATAGGTATAGAGGGCTCAACGTTTTCGGGGAGTCCCCGCTCGGACAACTACCGCCTGGAGTTCGCCAGGGGCGTCCCATCACCCCGCACTCCTAGACCACCTCGCCTTTTGACAGCAACCAGATCGTCTTCTTCTTCAGGCTCAGAGATATCTATGCGACAACCAATCAAGATCAGGTGATGCATGTAAAATGGCTTATTTAAATAAGATAATAAATAAATACACTAACACAATGGCAAGACAATTTGATTCGTTCAATTGATGCAATAAAAAGACTACAAGAAAAATTACAGAAAAGATAACTATATGTAAATGTACTATATATAAATGTGTATGGTTTAAAACCCTCTATGGACAGAGGAGTATAATATTGTATCTGAAAATATAATTCTGAAAATAACTAATTAAGTCTTACGTATTCAAACGATCAGCGAAAACTTAAAATTTGATAAGAGACAAAATTGGTGATAGTTATTAACGATTATGAGCATGTTATAATATTACGCTAATAACAATAAGTTATTTCCCCAAAGGTGGTGAAGGAGTTTGCGTAGTGCTTATTTAACCGACATTTGAGAATTTGGTGAGTGCCTTAGAGTTTTGCCTGACATTCATATACGAGATCAAACGATCACTTTTTGTACTTTAAGTCATACATAGAAAATGCTTTGGCCAGAACGACTAACATATAGATAAAAAAAAAACATTCTATGAGATAATTTACATAAAACAACTTCAAAACATGTAGGGTGGACTTGTATTTTACTTTTTTAGGCAGTTGAAAGGGATAATTGTATAACAGCGAAACGCCGATGGACGCCTATAGTAATTAAATATATGGCTGTTCAAATCCGCTTTAAAACTAGCATGTATGACAGTACTTATTGCATCCTATGAAACCTTTAAAGCTTTATTATATGGGGTGTTTGAACTCTTACTAGATTAGGTATCACGATGTCTAACCACTTGTTTGCCTGATCTACAGCGAACCGTTGAAGGATGATATTGAGGAACCTATCATCGTCCCAACATTGAGACCATCTCGACCATCAAGACATGTCGTTGCTATTCGGTAATTGAGATGTTTGCTCCAACGTTAAGAGAAATTATAGTTTACCGCCAAATTCAGTAATCATTGTATACATACATTACATGCATTTGTTGACATTAGAACAAAATAATTCTTAAAAACATATGTTATTAATAAATACAGGTTTCCTTCGAATATAATCAAGTTATTAAAGCTTTAAATTAGATCTTATAACATTTAATACTAATTCTTAGATTAAACGGTGCTGAGATAAAAAAAATATTGTTTATAATTAAATTCTTAATATAGCATTTGTACTTTGACGTAACATTTTATTAATCATGTCATTATCTATGTACTAATTGTTATAGTTTGCGTCTGATATTTCTACTAAATATAAATTGATTTTAATCTGTAATGTTATAAATGAAAGTGATAAGATTTACATACGGCAACACCGACCTACGTCCGCTGGAATTAGGTTAGTACTTTTACATGTTACGGCTTTATAATGTACGTATTTAAAATAAAACATGAAAAAAATATTGTGCCTTTTTTCACTTTTAAAATATTGTACTGGCAGTTATAGTAATTAAAAAAACTACATTTTATAAAGAATAAGAAAGCCAATAATGTATTCATAGTTTTTCAAATTAAGTATTTAAAGATTAGCATTTTTAGATAATTTAAAAATTTTCGCTGTCATCGATCTTCAAAAAGATATTAAATGTATATGATAATAATATATTAATAAAATATTATTAATATTTCTACCAATTACTAAGCTACCACGTTTGTTTTACATTAGATTTAAGAGTAGGTGCAATAATATAAATCTAAGACCATATTACTTTAAGAATGTAAAACGATACCATATTTTATTTCTATAATTTCAATGTACCTATGTAAAACTAATTCTTACTTAAGCTCAATAACAGATTTTAAACGTGTTAAGGCTATTTTAATTTACTTAATTCTATATTATGATGTTACGGTGTGTATATAATAACAATACAATACAGTGCATGTAAGTGAATAGCTATAAGAGTTTATCGGAAATATATTATTTAAAATACATATTTTGTATTTATTTAATCACATTTGATTAAAAATAAGTTAACTAATATATTTCGCGTTGCTAACTGTTAAAAGTGTTTTATCTTACGTTTTAGTACATACAACAGTCGCGTTTAGTTTTGACGCAATCCGGCTATCTAGAAGAATATTAAAAATAATAAAAAACAAAATGATACAATGGAATTATTGCAAAAAAAGAAAAAATAAGAAACATGTCTGTGTCTTCCTCATCCTATTTAACCGGAATAATTTACCGTTTCCTCAGGATTCGAACCTAAGACCTGTCATGTTTAACAAAACGCTGCGATATAGCAGGAATTAAGCTATGGAGTAAAACTTGTCAATAATAAACCATTTATGTTAAGGTATTTCGTATTGATTTATTTCCTAGGACGAAAAGCCCTAGCAGCTCTCTTGAATTAGATATTTATTATACTTCTCCGCCCACAATTTAAAAATACAATTACAGAATATATGTTATTTATTTTCTTGATAATTCGCGCTAATTTGAAATACTACACATGCGCAGTTGGTAGTATGTAGACTTTTTAAGCTGATGTTTCAATGCAGTTGCTATAATATATTAAGTATTAAAAGTACACTACTATTTTTATGATCGATGCCACTACCTACTTTTTGTTGTACCAAATAATGTCAATGTTTATTCGAGAATAGAACATCTAAATAAAATACTTTTAACGGTTAAATCGTAAATTATATTAGGTTTAATGTAATAGGTAATTAAAGAAAAGAAATTGTAAATACATGTTTTTTTCATTTTAACTAACTCGAGGTTTTTTTACCGTTAAAAGTTTATTTAAATGTATACTGCTCGGGTTAACTACAGACAGTGTTCAATTAAAAATCCCCAATCCTATTAGCCTAATTAGCTATGTAAAACCATTAATGAGCTTTAAACGAAATTATCACTTAGAATATAATAGTCTTATATAGTCTAGGACTTTACTAATCAAATAAAACTAGTTAAAGTACTAAGAGGGGTGTGATTAATTTATTAATAACTACGACATTTGAAGGGTATATTTAATACTAGTGAACTGTGCCCGCGAGTTTTCCGCGTGGTATAGTAACTTGGGGTAGGATTTTTAATTATTTAGGCTGTTTATTAATTTATGTAAGGGCGCATTTAAGGCAGCCAATCTATCTTGTAAGTGCTACTTTGCCGCAATACTCTCACTAACTCCCATCATCCTCTCTCTCACTCTCACTCTCACTCCCCCTCCCACTCCTACTCCCACCCCTATTCCCAAAAAGTCAAAGAAGAAAGTTTCATTGCTCTAGCTTCAAAAACCACGAATTTCCATAAAAACTTTCATCCTCTTTTTCAACCACTATCAACCCTTTTTTGGCATTAAAAAGTCGCCTATGTCCTTTCTCAGGCTCTAAAACATATGTGTACCAAATTTCATTTAAATCAGTTCAGTAGTTTCGTAGTTAAAGCCGGACACAGACAGACAGACAAAGTTCTTTCGCATTTAAATATTAGTATAGATATGTTTCAATCAGCCAATCCTTGTAAAGGAAAGTAGATTTTTTCCAGAATGGTACAATACACGCAGAGCAATTAAAATTAAAAAAAAAACATAAAAATTTGCGATGGGTAGGATCTGTGGACGGATCTAAAACCCCAAAAAACAGCACACCAGCCAGGTTTGCCAACTATCAACTAGGTGGTACAAATGCCGCTAGCGTAGCAGTCTTTACTTTTTCATTAGACACCCTTCATATACAGTCCTCCCGTGACCACAAAATTGTAAATAAATTAATTGATATATTTCGCGTCTTAAACCGTTAAGTGTTTTATTTAACTACGACTAACATTTACATCTAACGTTAGGTGAGTAAACATTCATTAGCAGAAACGATTCTTGATTCATGTTGTATTGTATAATACTAGCTTAAACTTCAGATATGTTTAATGTAGTGGTCAACAGGGCTTACGCTGAAGGGTTGGTATTTGGTAAACTTTAAGCCTTTAGTAAGTGGACACGCGTCCATACGTCCACACGTAGCATAAGTAAAAACTAAAAACAGAATATTATCGCGATATATTTTGTTCACTTATAACTTATCGATTACCTCCCTTCTGTACTTAAACAAACAATAAGTTTATGATGTAAATAACATTTAGCCAATTTTGGTGATATATTTTTTTCCAATAATCGAATATCCTTTGTTAAACATCAAAATGAATTCTTTTCTTTCCTTTAATTATTAAAATATTTTTAGCTGGACCTATTAACATATAAAACGTATCAAACCATTTAGCTAGTTCTTAACATATCGCATATAAATCAGCCAAGCTGCTGCCGGACATACCAGAGCCGGGTTCCGGACCCGGACAAAACGATACTCCGATTAGGGTGCAAGTGATGGAGACGACAAAATCGGAGAGAATGGAGGAAGTGTATGAAGATCGGGATCCAAATAATTTAAATCAACACGTTCAGGTATGTCTTCCATATTTTTTTAATGTTTTGTTCGATATCGATTCTTGCTTCTCAATGGAGTTGTATTTTGGACAGAAGGGTTTTGTATTGCCAATCGTGCTACGTTTATAAGCACTTGTATGTTATTTCATATAAGCGTTGTTAATATTTCAAAGACATGTTAGAGCACTTTTGAACACTAACATAAATGCAAATTAAGGTTTGAAAACATTTCACTCGACGGAAACCCATTTACATTTATGCAATGTAGCTCTAATAATGACCTTAGAAGTTAAAATAGGTAAATTATTTCTTTTTTTAGAAGATAACGAATGTCAATGGAGTATTTAAGGTCATAGAAAACAAACATCTGTATTAATTCATCAAAATTAAAACATTTTGATGAATTAGTACGGCTCATTGATACTAAATTATTATTTAGTAACCGTTTTTTATAACTAAGTACTATAATTTTTATACTTACGCAATGTTTAGTATTGTTTAGGAAGATTCTTTGATACTATTTTGATAAGCCCGCGTGGCATAGTTTGGTGGCAATTTGTTTTTGCTAAGCTTCTCCTCATCTTTATTAGTTAACTTGAAATACATAAATGAAAACATTATTATTATAATATTTCATTCCAAATTGGAAATTTATTAGTAAAGCACTGGACGCTGTGATCGTGGATCCGATTCCCGTGTGGGTGATTTTTTTTCTATCAAAGAAATTAATTATAGATATCCCGTCTACATATACGAAATAATAATCTATCAATACATCATCCACACATGACTATCCTCAGAATTGCTTCTAAACAAATCGACAAACTGTTCATGGTTTTACATATCCAAAACTATGACCGACTAGTATCGACCATTCCGGCAAAATAATTAAGAATTTTCATAACAAAGAAAGCGTGATTTTACACGAATAATAATAAAAGTAGGTAGGCATCGCGTGACCCCACTCGCTTGTTGCTCGGTAGGGTGTTTGAACGGTAAATTACTTGACTGGCCAGATATTTTTAACGCTGTAACTGAAATTACTGAAAGGTCAGCCATAGTACATTTTCGTACGTTTGGTCAAAAGTGTTTAGTATTTTTGCTTTTTATTGTCCCTCTGTAGCTTGTTGCCTTGCATTGCCAATAGAGTATGTAAAAACTTAAATAAAACACTTACGGTTAAGCGATATATTGGTTAACATTATTTGATGATTTTAACTTCGGCCCGGCGTTTCGGAGGCTTTGCAGCAGCCCTCCCCGTGACCACGGCAGACAGAGATTTATGACAGATTAGCGTTTTGGTGTTTTCAGTTATTATGGGATGACGTAATAGGGGAACCGGAAGGTGGAAGGAGCCCAGAAAGTGCCTGGCGAGTAAGCAGGTTCTGTTTTAAGCAGTCGCGACATTGGTGCTATACTGTTTTATCTATACTCTGTGCCCCACCTTGCGCCCTTATGCTGGGCTGTGGGTTCGCATGTCTGGCCTTCGAGGTACTAGCCTTATATATTAATAATTAGACATATTTATGTGAAGTTTATTAGAATTTATTAACAAAGAGTAGTTAAATTTTTCTCAAAATTACTACTTCTGATTCTTCTGCGTCTTTTTTATGATAGAGGAGGATCCAAATTTCCAGACAAAGCCAACATACCTAAGACTCGTTGATTATTAGCCATTAATTGCTACCGTTACAGAACGAGTAAAATTATATTTATTTTTAAGAAACACTTAACGGTTTAAAACGACATATAGAAAATTAAAAAAGCCGGTTTCAACCTTCGACTTCTTACCAAAAAATAGCAATAAATAAGAAAGTCTATACATATTTACTTTTTATAAGCTCCCTTTTTCTACCATCTTTACTTGTAAGGTAATAAAATTTAAATAATTTATATACTTTTATTTCAGCAAATTTGGTGCGCAACACCCGGTATTCGGTGTATCAAGGTCTACTGTTTATCAATCAGATCTCTTTTCCAATCATGTCTAGCTGCAACTGTATCACCTGTAATGGAATCATTTGGTCATATTTGTAGAAATATCAGAATTAATATGCGAAAAGATGCCGCTGAAGAAAAGGATCTTCTTGTAATATAATTGAATATCGTCGTTAATGAAATTATTAATATTAGTATTTTTCCAACAAACTAGATTATATCGTTTCAATACATGTTTCAATCTATTTTTAATAAACTTATTTAAAAGAGTAAACGTTTTTTAAACATTGACAATTTTCGCTCTTTGCGTTATCTGTGGCGTCACAGATAAAGCATATTTTAAAAAAGTTAATATTCTTTACTAACAGGCGACAATGAGCGGGAAAATTGAAATTCGAACGAAGACAATTCCCGCTATAATTTGAGACTGCTGTTACATAGTTTAAGTTTCTCTGGATTAAAAATAGTTGTGAATCATAATTTAAAATTAAAATAAGATAAAACGTAATAATAATTACGCAAAATGAGTACAAGTGCTTCAGTAACTGTAGCCACTAAGTTTAGCAGTGAAGAAACATCCTATACCCATAATTTTGTGATATCCAAATGTAGAAGGTTAGTTATTTGCAATTGATATAAAACGTACCATCTTGAGTTTTCAGAAATTAATAAAATTGACAGTACAAACTTCGTTACGTCAGCTTACTCTATCTAATTATGATCGTATTAACTTATTTAATTATATAGAAATACGGGCTTGACCACAAATAGAAACATGACCGAAAAAAGCGATAATCAAGACGCTGAAGATACAGACGTAGAGGAGGTTTGTTTTTGACACGCGTAATATATTGTCAGACATTTAAATTAATTTAAATAAAACACTTTAACGGTTTAAAACGCGATATATTAGTTAAACTTATTTGAAAATGATTTTTAACTTGGCCCGACTTTGGATGTTTGCAGCAGCCGTGACACGGCTGCTGCAAAGCATCCGAAGTAGATAATTTAACTAATATATCGCGTTTTAAACCGTTAAAGTTTTTGTTTAAATGTGTACTACTCGCGTAAACTATAACAGTATTCATTTAAATTAGTTAAAAAAGTTTAAATTAAGTTTCGCAACTGAATAATCAATACTAATATATAAAGGTGAAAAATGTCCGCGACAGTATATGTCTATCTTTTAAGATTAACTTGCAAGACGACCCGTCCCGTAACAGCTTAAATTCATAAAGATGAAGGAGGAAGTTAAAAAAAATGACTATTCTACGCGGACGAAGTCGCGGGCACTGCTAGTTATTCAATAACACCAACATATGTATGTACAGGCGTTGCATTTCTCCACTAATGAAGTAAGCTCATAAATAACTATAAAAAAACGAGGTAGCATGTCGCACGCCTTACCAGCCATTGTAGCTACTTATCAGTCAGTTAGACCTTAATTGAATGACCCCAAAGGCCATTAATCACGCATTATGCGAGGCAAAATTTGGATTACTTACTTTTCATGTTATGATTTAATCGTAAGACATTAATTCAATACATACACTTTTCCCAGCTGTTACGTTAGGATCGTCCACGTTATTGTTTGTGTTGTGAGTCGAAAGGACATATTCAAATATAAATAATTTATACTAGCTTACTTAATAGGGTATTAATTTATTTGTAGTGTCTTCTTACTGTATGCTGCAGATCTGGGAAACTTGGAGCCGCTGCCTATACATTACAAACTGGAGAGGTATTTTTCTTCGTTATTGAGAGATTCTTGTTTTAAACTTATTTTCTACTTAATACGAACTTCGGTGTCTAGTAGAATATTTACTTAAGGTATCTTAAAACAAATACGGAACTATAACTAATTGAAAATAACTTTTTATTACTACTGAAAAACACGACGATATTACAACCAGGATCTATTTAGGCGCGAAAATGTAACAAAAATCAACTCTCATAAACGTTCGTATTAGTAACATTAATATGTTATGCGTCTGACCAAGCCTTGTCTCCAACATAGATTCAAATACTAGAAGAAATAGTAGATAGGCCACCAGAACATCAAATATTTCTGTCATTATTTCGCCAAATGGACCCTATCAAAATAATAGTAGATGGAAAAAGTCAGAATACCCTTATAAGTACTGCTAAGAATGTTGTTTTCAATGAAAAAGATAATCAGGATGTCAAATGCAAACTTGTTTTTTTGTCTTCTAAAGATTATAGTGAGTATATCTGTATCCAGTATTTATTATCAATGGTTTTGTAATATAGACTACATTTTAAAAGTTTTCACGTTTTATATTATAAGGCCAGTATTTGCTAAAAAAGGTCATATATTAATTTTCATATTGGAAAATTAAAGATTTTGAAGCTTGCAAACGTCGAATTCTAACTCTATCACTGCCCAATGAACCGGTGAACTGTTCTGATGAAGAAAGAACCACGTTTCTTCGCACAATCGTTGATTTTTCGCAAAACCAAACTGTCCATGCTCTAGGCGCGATGCTAAGATATTTGGACTTTAATTGGTCGAACTTATGTATGGACTTACATAGTAAACCACTGTTTATGGGGATAAAGAGGATTTCCTTGTAAGTTTTTTTGTAATATAAAATATTGTTAAAACACGACCAGCCTCTGTAGCCAAATGGTTGAGTTCGAAATCAAACAACAGATTGTTTCGGTCGAGCAGGGCGCAACAGTCTGATCTATTAAACTTGCCTATACCGATCATGCTCCACGAGGGTAACAGAATTTCACTATTGTTTAAACAATTTTAATCTAAAAACATTCAATTAAGAGTTTTTGGTAGGTGTGATATAGTGACGATGGATGAAGACACTTATCACGGCCTGCAAATATTCAGTACACTTTCCCACCCTAGTAATTTCAAGAAAGGCGTGCAGGGGTCCAATAAAGAGGGTCTGTGTCTTTCACAGCTTTTTAGTAAGTGTTCCTCGAAGGTTGGACATCGACGTATGAGGTACGCATTTACAAAAAATTTGTACCAAACAGCATTTGTATATATTTTTTCTATTATTTGTATTCTAAGTATATCCGGTACTATGCGCGAGTGGTACACAATTAAATATAATACTCTTAACGGTTTAAAACATAAAATTTATAAATAAACTTATGTATACTACATTTTTAATTACGGCCCAATGTTTCGAACACCTGGTATACTAAAAACAATAGATCCCGAAATTGGGTAGGTACTACGAAATAAATGGCACTAGTGTAGCAGATTTGACTTTGACATTAGGAACACCATTCATCTTCAGTAGCTCCGGGACCATGTAGTTATTTTTTTTCCAAATAAGATAGTAATATACATTTCACGTTTTAAGCCGTTCAAAAGAGTGTTATTTAAATATTTTTCTTTTTTAATTTATTTGCTATATACATAGACCGTACTTCTACGATGCTCGTATGCGTAGGATGCGACCAGACTATAACTAAGTTTACTTTCTTCGGACTGAATACCAATTAAAGTTTAATACTAGCTGACGCCTCGTTCATTAAGGTAGCCTGAATATATTAAGCGTCTCAATGGAACAAACATAATATAGAAAGAAAAATCATTGCCCATTTTGGCTTTATCCAACTCGAGTACTTTTTAAGTCAACAATCAGATTTCAAATTGTTTAAATGAGCCTCCTTCTAGAGTTCTTCTTCGCCACCCAACCAAGGACTTAGCATCACTCAAGCGTCGTCAGGATGTCATAGAATACTTCATGAAGCCACAAAGTGATACTGTCATGAGGAACATTTGTTCTTCGCTGAGATATATCAAGAACGTTAATGTGATTTCAAACTCAATATAAAGCATTGGAATTCGTCAAAATTGACGCTAAATATTATTTTTCATTTTCAGGGCATTTTAACAAAAATAAAAGCACTTTCCGCTAAGGCATACCAATGGAAGTCTTTGTACAATGTAAGATAGTCTTATTAATTTTTCTATAAAAAACTTACATTATTTTCAACTTGTATTATAAAGGTGGCGAATTTGTTTGTTAGTTTGTTTGAACGCATTAATCTCACGAATTGATCTAAAATGTTTTTTAATTTTCATCTTTAAATTAAAGATTCTACGCGGACGACACGCTGACACAGCTAGTAATTTTTAAAGCTGAGGAGGTATTTTGCAAAAATACATTTTGATGCCTATTATAAATATTCTACGCCGACAAAGTCGCGGGCACTGCTACTCTGTTTATAAATGTTGTTTTGGCCATCTTTTTTATTAAATTTTGTTAACCTTTTACGACTTTTTTGTTATTTTTATAACATAGAAATTAAAATAAGTTATATTATGTAATACAGACATTATACAATGCGGTGCTGATAAGTGAGATATGCGAGACAGTAGCTCGAGCCAATGAATATTTAGAAGACATCGCTACTTGTGACACAAATAAGCTGTATGAGGCAAGTTTTATTAATATTTAAGTTCTAAACTTTTTATTGTCATTCACATATTTAAAGTAAATTTAAAACTTATAACTAAATTGGGGTATTTAATATATATACTAATAATAAATACATAAGAAAGGGCAATCGGTACCAGTCTCAGCTATAATATCTATACTAAATAAAGATGAAGAGTTTGTTTGTTTGTTTGAACTCAAATTCTCAAAAACTCTCTGTGTTGGTTAGAGCATTTATCGAGGAAGGCTATAGGCTATAAAACATCGTCCTGTAACTAATAGGAGCAAAGATACAGCGGGAAATGTGACAAAAATTGTTGATGATAAAATACTGTCTATAGTTTACGCGAGTAGTACACATTTAAATAAAACACTTTAACGGTTTAAAACGCGATATATTAGTCTCCCCGTGACCACGGCTGCTACAAAGCATCCGAAACGTCGGGCCGAAGTTAAAAATCATTTTCAAATAAGTTTAACTAATATATCGCGTTTTAAACCGTTAAATTGTTTTATTTAATTGTTGATGATACCCAAAAATGTATGAGAGAATGATTCCTCTTTAAATGATCTAAAAAAAATTCCGCGACGCCATATGTCTATCTTTTAAGCTTGCAAGAACGACGCGATCGATGGGGTGGTTAACAGAAACGAATTTGGATGCCCAAAATAACGATTCTCGCGGACGAAATCGCTAGCACTGCTAGTATTATAATAAAGTGATAGAAATCGCACGCCTGTATGTTAATTAAAATCGTCAACCACAAAAATCGAAACTAATTTATTACTAACTAATTAAATTTTTGTGTTTGTATGTCCCCAAATACTTTTTTTTCAACATGTTTTAAAATATTAAAAGAAGAAAGACGAAAGCTAATAAAAAATGAGTCAAAAATTGAATGCTTCTGCTCGTTAGATGGCGTTATACATGAATAGGATAATAGATTTTGATCTATCCAAGTCCGAAGGAAAGTTTACAGTAAGAGCTGGCGTTGACGCTGACTTAGATATGAGTAAGTAAACCTAGATGCCCTTATAAAAAGCCTTTTTATGTGTACGTTAAAACTTTAGCTTAAATCGAGAAAAGATCAGTCAAAGAAAAAGGTTTTAACATCCATTTGGAATAATTATTTGTTATGTATAAAGAGTATATTATAAAATCAAAAAATATAGATAAAATAAGGTTTTTATTTGATATAATCGTATTAATTTAAAAAAAAACTATTATAAAATGCTCCGTAAAAAGTTCCGTGCTGTTGCTCTAACCAATTGAGCTACCGTTAATACATTCACCTATCGCGCTTTTAATTATTTTTTACACTGTGCCATAATGTGCAATAAACTATGAAAAATATTAAGGTTTTCAATCAATGGTATACTCATCTCAATGTTGTGTTCAAGTAAAGAGTGTTACATATCATTGAAATTTACTATTCATTTTACATATCTATTTTTTTACTTAAATAAAAAAAAAATATTATTAAAGAAAAACAGACCATGGCTAGCCTCCACAATCTAATGTCGGAAACGGCAAAGATAGAAATGGATCGTCTCCCGTCGTTTATAGAGGAATGCACAATGCTTTATATGCCACATTTGGGATACTTATTAGGAGTGAAAGCCTGGGCTGAACATCTTACGATGGAACAGAAGGAACTCCCTAATATGAGATTTATGGTAATGTTCTGGTTTTTTGGAACTAGAAGGTATAATACAGCCGTATACTAAATCATGTCGTTGAATAAAGAAAAGCTGTTATTGATTTTATTTTCTTTTAAAAGTAATTATGGTATCATTTATTATTAACACAATTCACTGTGCTCTTAAATCCATTTACTACAATATCCCATACGATTAAAAATAAATTTAATAGAATAAACGGTCGAGTGTGTTGACAATGGGTCAATCACTCCCGTGCATCTCGCTCTTACCATCGTTAGCATCCTAGGGACCATTTCTGCTCAGCGTTTCGCGCTAATATCAGACTTGCCAAGTTACGTCGGCTGTATTATTATACTTTGCCATATTTATTCTATGACTGTGATTGAATACAAATATTTCCATTATTGATATTATGGATTTAGTTTAGTGTTTCTATTCTCTTTACTTGTCGATTACAGTGATGTCAAGCATGACAAAATAATAATCAGTTAATAACTTTCAGTTTCAAAACAACGATTATATTCACTACAAAAGCAAAGGCTGCGAAGGTAAGACGAAAACTATTTTTTATAGGTATAAAATTTTCGAAAATTCCAAATCTATACTTATATATAATAGCCTGAAGAGTTTGTTTGTTTGAACGCGCTAATCTCAGGAACTACTTGTTCGATGTTTTTTTTGTGTTGGTTTAAATTTATCGATGAAGGCTATAAAAGATTTATAAAGAGAAACAGCGGGTAATTTGAAAAAACGGGGAAAATTATTCATTCTTAAAAGTTTCCTTTGCATACGCTACGTTAAAGATACCGAAAAAAAATATATAAAAGAATGATTCTCCTTAGAATGATCTAAAAAGTGTCCGCGAAAGAGAGGACGTAGGTGACGTCGTGGGTAACAGCTATATTTTATAAAGAGGTTTTCGAAAAATCATGTTTAGTTGCCTAAAATGACTATTCTACGCGGAAGTCGCTGACACAGCTAGTTTAAGATAAAATTAGATACTTCTCATAAAAATATATATAATTAAATTAAAATAATGTTGAAACGTGTTTAACAGAACTAGATGTGATGATTGGCGATACATACCCTGAAATAGTAGCACACGAGACTCGTATAATGATGCGCCTGACTTCAATAATACTGGAGAACTTGCATTCGCTAGCCGCACTCATAGACAAATGCGCGGAGTTGGACTGGTAAGTGTGGTGGCCATTTATCTCAGTAGCCTTCATATTCTATTATCAAGGAAAATCTACTGAAAGTTTATAGAACACCAGTGTTATACTTAAAAAAATACCTTAGTATTAATCAATAAAAAAATAATGAAACATATATTCTTTGACGGGCTCCTTCATGGCTAATTTAATTAAGCAAGGTTTCGATGCCCACCGGGTCCAAGATGCTTCAAATTTTTTAATTTATATTTTTTGAAACATGTTGGACTTCATCTGGACATTTGGATAATTAATGGGTGATAGGAATATCGAAATTTTGTCCGCGTCACGAACCACCGTCCACAGATGACAAAACCGTACATTTTAATCGCGTTTCGGTTTCAGTCTGTGGATGTCCGATTATACAAAAACAAAAATAGGCCGACAGCGCATCTTGTTTAGTTGTTTTATGACTGGGGCATTTCACCTCCCATTCAGCGAACCCCATTCTGTCCACCTTTATCATTAAAATAATAATAATATTTTTCAAATACTTAATAATTAATATACTTATTCGTGCAGTCTCATATCGATATCAAAAGTTTGCAAAGAGCTAAATTTCGTCCGCCCCATTCTGACGAGAGAGAAGATCATACAGATAGAACAGGGTAAACATCCCCTATACCTCACAACTTGTGATAATTTTGTACCCAACGATGCGGTAAGCAGTCAAGAAGCTGGATTCGTTAAGATTTTAACGGGACCGAATTCGAGCGGAAAATCGGTTTATATGAAACAAATCGGTACGTTATAGACAAATAATTGACAAAAACATCACTTCATGAGATGTGTTATTGTTTATTAAATGTTGAATGTAATCTTTTAATAGTGTATTGGGACAATCCTGTAAAAGTAGATTAACTGGTTATACATAAAAGTGTCTATCTTGTCAGGAAGAAATCGCCATTGGCAACAAGGCTGCCTTTGCACTAACTCTTTTATGTAAATTATTAATTAAGTATTTCTATATTTGTATTTTTTTTTTTTTAAATAACCTTTGTACCCAGCAATTCCTTGCTGTTGCTTTACCAAATGATATACTCTGCCTTAGATCAAGAAACTTAAATACGCGCATTTCTCATTAGTCGTTAAATTTTTATGAGAGCAAAGCTATTCATTATTGGTATATGAATCGTAATGGCTGTAAAAGCAGACAGCAAAGAAATGTTAAATAAATGAAGTTGTATGTAGGTTTTTACGTAGGGACTTCAAAAAACGCAGACATAAACGAAAGAAAATAATAATCTAGGTTTTTTATTCTTAATGCGGTGCCCTAACGTAACTTTGTTTCATTAAGTTTACTTTTATGGCAAATCTCTAAGGTTTATACGGAGATATTGTTTTTATATATTTGTATTGCATTACAGGTCTAATTGTATATCTAGCGCATATAGGTAGTTTCGTCCCAGCCGAGTCAGCAACTATTGGGATAGTTTCCAATATATTCACTCGCATACAGTCAACTGAATGTATTGCTTCGCACATGTCCGCATTTCTTATTGACCTTAAGCAGGTAATTTTTGCAAGACTTTAAATTTAAATAATACACTTTAACGGTTTAAGACGCGATATACATCGGATGACCTGCCCGTGCCCACGGCTGCTGCAAAGCATCGGAAACGGGGCCAAGTTAAAAATAATTTTCAAATAAGTTTTACTAACCTATATCGCGTTTTAAAACGTTAAAGTGTTTTATTTAAATATTCGTTTGTTATTATTTTTTTGTTATAAATCCTTTGCGCTGCATGTAATAAACCAAAGCCTAAATTTCTTATTGAATTCTAGATGGCAATAGCACTTCAAGAATCGACCACAAACTCTCTGGTATTAGTCGACGAATTCGGCAAAGGCACCTCCGAAACAGATGGTCTATCATTATTGGCGGCATGTCTCAATACTCTCTTGTTTAGAGGGCAAAACTGCCCACACGTTTTCCTGTCCACTCATTTTCTAAATATTAAAGAGTTTATCGTCGACACGCCAATTATTAAATTTTTGGTACGTTTATTAAAATTAATTCCATTTACTTTCGGGTAATAACATAATCACATACACAAAAAAATCACGCACTCATATTTCTATAGATTCAACAAAACTTAAGTCCACAGTTATATATATAATAGCGTCGTCGAAAAGTGCTTTAGAGCTCAAATAAGTTTAACTAATATAAATTGCGTTTTAAACCGTTAGTGTTTCATTTAAATGACTAGCTGTCTTAAAAGCTCACATTAACAAGTTTTTCTTCAGAGCTTTGAGCATATAATTCAAGATGGCGAGCCAGTATTCTTGTTTCATGTAATTGAGGGTAGATGTGAATCAAGTTTTGCACATCAAGTGGCGTGTTCAAGTGGTATAGAAGAGCGGGTAGTGAAAAGAGCTGAAGAAGTTTTCCAAGCACTCAAGGTTCATCAGTAGTAGCTTAGCGTTGTGTGTTATTTAATCGGTTTTGTAATTTTTTATTACTATTTCTGTTGATCACATGTGCTCGCGAGGGTAGAAAAACAAAAGAAAAATATCCTGCTTGCTTCTTTATACATGAATATTGCTTCAATAGAGTAAAAATATATTTCCCCCATTAAAACTTTTAATATGTTTCAGAATAACAAGGTACCCGAAACAAACAAGAAGATAATCGCGAAATTGAAGAAAAAAACGGACAAAATAAAGAAAGACCTAATGTTTTAATACATTTAATATAAAATACAATGTTATATAATAAATATTAAATTGGCTAGCAACGTTCAATTATAAAATTTAAAACTGTACAAAATAATTTATTTATAACATTTCTTTTTTGGAATGTTTTAGGAAGATTGTTCATCCACCCCCAAAAAAACTTAATGGTTCAAGAAGCTTCAAGCATTCCACACTCACGTTGACAACAAAGTTTTAAACAATTCTTAAAAGCACTTAGCGACTTTAATTATCCTTAATAGTTTTTTGCGTTGTAACTTAACAGTTATTACTACTCGAATATATTTTGTTATCAGTGATATGTCACATAACTTGAAATCACTTACGCTAAAATAATATTTTAATTTGTATATCATTTACTACAAAAGGCGTACATAGATTACTTGATAACATAAACTAGAAGACGTAGAAAAAGTATTTTTACTTCCGCCTTTACATAAAAAAAATATTAATCATCTTGTGACTTGTTTCATAATATAACAATAGATGTATGATAAAAGCTGGTTACATTGACTTCATTTGCTGCATAAGTTCTTCAAGAGACAATTCTGAAGCCGCGACAGCGCCACCTGTACTTGATTCTGGGGTGCTGTTGTCCACAGGAATACTATAAGCAACCTGCATGAAAATGAACTTTCTGTCGTTACAGTGACTATGCAATAAAATATTCTTTACTTTACATCAAAACAATATAGATCGAAGAAAAATGGTTGACAAAATGAATTACTAAATAATAATTACCTGAACTCCATCGACAAGACTTAAGGTAGGGGTCTCTTCTTCTGGTGAGTTCTCATCAACCAAACTGATACCTGAGGAAGAAAATAGATTGAGAAAAATATTTACCATGATAGGTGTATTTTCAAAGAATTTTTAAGTAGCAAAATACTTTTTTGCTAGCTTGAGAAATTATTTAAAGATTTTTTTAATAAATACACCCTTATTTACATTTAAGGAATACGAGGTAGTGTGTCTTATGGCCTTTGAGCTATGTGGTGGCAGGCACATTACAAAGTACTTACCCCACTCATTGTCATCATGTATCGGTTTGGCATCCTCTGTCACTTCAGTGGCAAGCTCTACAGCTACTGGTTTAGCTTTGAACTCTGCTTGACGAGTCCGACAATATGAATCCTCACATTGAGGGTTAGGCTAAAATCATAAGAGAACATTCTAGTATTTTTCTCCAAAATAATTATATATATGTATGTATAATTTAGTATTAAATTGCCAAATTATACTATAATTATTCCCTATTTATATCACAACCTAGAGTACTAATGCACCTAAAAGGGTATAAAGAAAATTTAAAACATTTTAAAATCCCTTGCTTACTTTAATTACAGTGATTATAAATATTACCTTGAGACTCATGGTGGGAAAGAAGTCGGTAAGCGCACTGTATCCCAAGTAATGACTGACATTTCCAAATCCAAGCAGGAACTTTAAAGAATTTTGCACTGAAAAGATAGATTTAGTGTAAGTTAGAACATAGTCCAAAAATACAGTAGTAATTATTGCATAAACATTATAATATAAACCACAAGATTAAGGAAGCAACATAATATGTTTCTATTTACCTAAAAAACCAGCAACAATGCCCATTGTTGTTGGAAGGCTAGCTGCACACACTCCTTCCCTCTTCAACGTTTTCTCATCAATTTTTGACGCAACAACTAGAGGTGGTGCACACTGTAACATAATCCATTTAAGACTAGACACCGGAAGAAGAACATAATGAAAGTGGCATAACAACTTACAGCAAAGCAAGCAGTTTCTCCAGGAATAATAAACTGTATATGTCCAGAAACAGCATTCTCACTAACTCCAGACTCAAACCACCTCTGATTGAGCTCATTACAGGCTGTGTTGATGGCCATGCGAGCTTCAAAGTTATCTACACAGCTGAGAACCAGATCTACGGGACCATCAGTTAAGCTTCCTTTACTGAAATGTTAGTTTTGATTATCACATGATCTGATAAATCTTCCCGACCAATCTCTGATGTAAGGTGCATGCCTTTGATTTTCAACATATGACACTTGTTTTGTAATAAAACATTAGTTGCAACTACACTTACTCCTTAAAACACAAATGTATTTGATTAATAAATCAAATAGTCTTTGCTAAGCAAGATTATAAAAAAGAACAGACCTAATAGAATCACAGAACTTCTGGAAATTGTCAATTGTAGTAATATTATAATTGTATGTTTCTATGGAAACGTCAGGGTTAATAGCTTGTAGGGTGGCAGCAGCTGCATCCACTTTACTAAGTCCAGCTTGATGGGGTTGGAAGAAAAGGCGGTTCATATTTGCTAGTTCCACTTTATCGTAATCATACAGGATTAACTGTAATAAATAATTAAGTATGTAGTCAGGCTATCCTCAATCTAATCTGATTTTTTTTTTATTATTTTAATTGGAAGAACAATTGTGAACTCAGAAGAAGTTCAGTTAAGAATTCAGAAAATGATAGGAGCAACTTAACACTTGGACTGTTAAGTTGCCAGTTTGTATCATATAATAATTGACTTAATTATTAACACCAGCCTGAAGTAAACTCTATTTCCTGCAGACATTTTTCCTCTCCATAGCTATAAACTAAACTACTGAAAAAATTTGCACCAATATAGGTAGTTAATTATTTTTTTACCTTTCCAATACCACATCTAGTAAGCATCTCAGCAGTAACGCTTCCAACTCCACCAACGCCTACTACAGCAACTGATAGTTCCCGAATCTTCTCATAATTATTGACTATACCCATTCTTTTCAGAGCCATCAGACGACTGCGACAAAAAGTGGCAATATACAATAGTTGACAACGAATAAATGTAGTAGTGTTAAATACGACATATTGTGTATAATTTTAGGAAGTATTATAAGTCAAACACGGTTAATACTTTTGATTAATACTTTAATAATCGATAATAACACGAAAATACTGCCGTTATTGTACGTAATAAGAAAAATGGTTAAGTAAATCGTGTTAATATACCTGTATGGGTTTGAGTCCACGACTTCTGAGGACATTACATCGATTTTCTGACGCATAGGCACTACATTTCCTTGAGCAGCCGCTAACTTAGCCTCCAATTCGTTTACTTTTCTTTGCAGTTCCTCCACGCTGGCCATTTTTGCAAATATTTATACGAAAACAAGATTTGGCCGCGTAGTCTGAATAATGTATTACCCTTTACTTTCAAAACAGCTGTCAAGTTTTTAATGATGAGTGACGTATTCAAAACGTTTTCAATAATCAATGTCAGATTGACAAAGGATAATTACGCTCATGATTTTTTACCACAGATAAAGATCATCTGGGTCCAAATTTTAGCAGCTCTCGTTTATCATCTAGAAACTTAAGCAAATCTATTACATAATATTAATTATGTCCAAGTAAATTATAAAGGCTTTAAAAACAATATGAATACTTTGTCTTAATATTTTATAACACAAAGTGGGTCTCGTACATGAAGAGTGTACGAAATAGTAAGGTTCGATTTCTGTCTGTGCAAATAAATTTACAAGTACTTAATGCAAAGAAAGAAGAAAGATTTTATTTTTAATTTTGGCTTGAATGCCAAAAATTAATTTGTGTAAAGAGAAAAACGGACGATTATGAAGTAATTCGTTATTTTAGAAGTACCTACTATATAGGTATATATAGTTCTAAATATTATATGTCTGGCACAATGCTCACCAAAGATATAACTTATTACATATTTAAATATAGAGTTGTAGACACTATTATAACATAAATGCGCTCTTATTGAAAACCACAAAGTATATTCTATTTCAACCTTGAAAATTATTTATTCTAAAAGACATTATTATTATCTTGGAGTTAACGCATACTTGCGTAAATAATATTTATTTCCTTTCATCTTAAAATTGTATATTCACCACCGTACATTTACAAAATTAATAATTGTACAATTATTGTATTGTTGCGCAGCCTAACCTTGGGCTTAAAATCGGTTCCTTCGCATTTTGTTATAGTGCATCTAGGTACAACTTAGTTTGATGATCCAAGGTCTTTATGTGTATATTTACATAATGCAAAATCAGGTACCTACCTGGCTAAAAGATAGATAGATTTTTAATTTTGAATACGCCTAAGTGCTACATCCGCTGGCAATTTTTGCATATTTAGATGGTAATAACATAAAATAGTTTAAAAATAATACATTATATTGTTTTCCTTTTTTTTATTTTTACATTAGAAATAGGTTATATTTATTTAAAACTACATATTTCTATAAAATTAATCCACATTTTTGTAACGTGTTATTTCAAAATTGCTTGTTACAGGATAACCTAATAATAATATAAAAACTGAATATATACCTAATAAGAACTTTAAAGGAAGTAAATCACACTACGATTGAAACAAATGAAATTAAAACATTTTAGTTTATTGATAAATTGTGTGGAATAATAGTTATGTAAAGAAAAGCTAGTTAACTCGAAGATAAAAAAATATATACCTACACAAGATGGTTTTATTGACAATAAGTAAAATTATATAAATTAATAAGTAAATTATACTCGTAACCAGTCTACAGCATTTTATTCTACGAATACAAATATTTTTTAAGAAGTGAAATACTTAAAAAAAAAAACTTTATTTAAAAACTGTCGACCCATATAATGATGTTTAAGGAGGCTGCAAATACTTTTGGCAGTGTTATTTTCGGAAAGGACGTTGAACCATTGTCGTCTTCGATAAAGGCACCGATTTTAAAACTCGTTCTCCATTTTACGAAAGGGACCTAACACATACACATTATTATTTATATATCTATCCATTTAACCTATATTATTTATCAACATTATGCTTTTTGTTATACATGTGTACCAAATTTCAGTTACGTATAAGCTTAGTTATTATCTAGTTGAAAAAGCACATATTTATATAATATAAATATATTTTTATGTACGCCTGAAAGAATTGTTAACAGTTAATAACATTAATTAATAAATATCTAGCAGTTTTCATAATACGATAGATTCACAACAATAAGCTTTTGTTGCTTAAAAAAGTTTGATTGAAAAGTTGAAAACTCAGGTTTATTTACATAAGAACGGTATCATCTAGTAAGAAGTACCAATGCGTAATTTTGTAAGAAAGGTTTCGTGGTGTAAAGAAAAGGTTTCGATTGTGGGAGGGACATCCCTCTCTGTTCGTGTCTGTCGATTCCTTCTTTAGTCCATACCGAGTCTTCGTGTTCGCATGACAAGTGGTTTAAAGTGGTACTTATGTGTTAGTGACCGTTAATCCGAGTTTTAAACTTGTTTTAGGTTTAATTGAGTTATTATTAATTGTAAGTGTTTTATTTATATCCGCCATTTTTATTACTGCTATTATTTTTTTATATTATGAAAAATTACGAAACTGACTATATTATTATATTCAGTTTACAAGTGATCGTAATGTTTGATTTTCTCTTTGGGTAATGTCTTAATGTCTTAAAAAATCCAAAATTAAATACGGAGAGGTGCTTTCCATTTGCTAATGCTTACGATTTGTCCAATATTACGGATATGTTGAAAATAGGCATGGTTATTTACTATATTATTTTCAAACCTAAAACTCTATTACAAATGGGGAAGGCGCGCATATGATTACTTCTTCTGCAAAAAATAAAACGCAGCTTTTGTTTATTATTATTTTTATTCATTAAATAACATAAAGATTTGATAACAAATACGCAACTTGTTAATGCTGTCTACAACCAGCACTTTTACATTTATGTATGTTAGACATTAAATTAGACAACAAAAAAATAATATAAATGCGTAAATGCTAGTAAAGTTAAGTAGCTAACAATCCTTTGCCTTACTCAATATATCCGCCGCATTTTAAAAATAATTGGACGATAATCATTCGAGAGTGTTGTATCTATGTAGAGTAGTCGTAAACAAACTTTACGATTTCGATGAATGGTCCTCCTCCTTTGGTCCTTGCGATCCTTACCTAAGGGATATGTCTCATTGTAGACCCTCATAAGATCCCTAATAATACAAAAGTTGGTAAATCAATACTATATATATTGCCATTGTACAATGTTGCCAATGTGCGGTTAATAATCAACGGGTCGTGGGTTCGATTCACACCGGGTCCAACATTTTTCTAATCAATTTATAATTTTTCTGCAACATATTGTACTTTGAATACTGTCTATAGTTTACGCGAGTAGTACACATTGAAATAAAACACTTTAACGGTTTAAAATGCGATATATTAGTTAAACTTATTTGAAAATGATTTTTAACTTCTCCCCGTGACCACGGCTGCTGCAAAGCATCCGAAACGTCGGGCCGAAGTTAAAAATCATTTTCAAATAAGTTTAACTAATATATCGGGTTTTAAACCGTTAAAGTGTTTTATTGAAATATTGTTGTTTGTCTGGAACTCTGGAAATATGGATATCGATTGGGTTGTAAGAATTTGGAATTTCCGCCCGGGTTACGAACCACCGTCCACAGATGATAAAGCTGTGAAGTTAAATCACGCTTCGGTTTCAGTCATTGGATTTCTAAATATGCAAAGCCAAATTATATGTGAATAAATATATATGTTATATGTCTGCCCATCGCTATCATAAAAAAAAAAATCTCAAGTGTGTGTTTCATTTTAGTATAACGCTTTAAATATTGTAACTACTCTACTTAATGTTTGTATAATTAATAATTTTAAAGTCTCTACATTTTAGCCGAATTAATGTTGACCGATCATTTTAAATAGCTTGGTTTCGTTATTAATATTATAATAACATTCCTATAAGTAACCTTCCAAAAAGTAGGTATCTTTTATAAAAGACGAGGTTATTATGTGTGAGCTTGGTGTTAAGTCAGTATACAATTAACAAAGGTGCAGTATGTTTTACACAATTCAAACATTTTGTGCTATCTTATCATGAAGATAGCTTTCTGAACTTTTTTCTCTCCCTGTTACTTCACTTTGTGCTACAGACAATTGCTTATTTATTTCTAATTTTTCCGTGATGTCTGTAATTTTGAGTGCCTCCTTTGTAAACGCCCCAAATTACTGATGGAAGTAAAACGTTGACCTGCTGCTGTGTGTGATGGGATTCGAATTCTGAGGACACGTGGGGTAAATGATAGGTCGTAATAAGCACATGGTAGGTGGTCATATCCGCCGTAAACAATCAATAGACAGATTCATTGTAAACGAAGATAATGAAAAAAAATCAATTTTTCTTTTTCTAAACTCTAGTTGTTTGTTTGATTATGCCAATTTAAAAGTATATTTTAACGTAATATAAACAATTAAATTAAATCGATAAGTCTAGGTACAATCAAAGAAACACGAAAGCGCTTTTGTGCATTGTTAGATATAAGTTTACTACAAAGAAACGGCAACAGGCACGATATTAGCTCCGTCACCTATATTTATATTTTCCACTAATTGATATGTTTATAAATTAATACCTTACATTTTAAGTGTGACAAAATAATTATACCAATGCTTGCTATATCATTTTCATTACTATTTTTAGACATGGGACATACGTATTACATGAATAAAAAAAAAACAGTTATATACTGGTAGTACATACGTACGCATTGAACAAGTTGTGGTACCACTATTTGTAAAGATTTCTAGACGTGATACAATAGTGATAAAAGGAATTAGGTGAATGCATTTAAATAATGAAAATGCTTTTTCTAGTCCTGTTTTGATGTTTTTTTTTTGTTTTCACTGAGGGCATTGAGATGTATTAAAGATGGTCTATAGCTAATCTGATTTTCAGGCAATGCAACGAGCTAATACCAGTGAGGAGCGCACTCCTCTGGTGCAACCCACGTACGTCTTCGAGTCCAGTATATCCAGGGGATACCAGAAGAGACTTAGAAAGTTTCAATGTGCTGTCTGTGTGATCCTTATGTATGTATTCTGCAATGCAACGATAAAAGTTTGGCTAATACATACTAAAAAAATTATATACCGTCTGTAGTTTACGCGAGTAGTCCATTTTTAAAGAAAACACTTTAACGGTTTGAAACGCGATATATATTAGTTATACTTATCTCAAAATTAAGTCTCCCCGTGATCAAGGTTACTGCAAAGCTAGCAAAACGTCGGGCCGTAGTTAAAGTATTTTTCATTTTTTTTGTTTTATTTATGTAAGTAATTATACATAAAATTACATTTGTACGTGAATTTTCACATGAGAGCTTATATAGAACGAAAAAAATATGTTGTTGTTATCGTACAGTACAGTGGTGCTGTACTCCTTGAATTACATTTTTGACGTAAATTTGATAACTGTTCTGCTTATAAAACGGGATTAAACTTATGGATTTATATACTCTCTCGTATATATATCATAATATTACATAGTGTTTTTAAAAGCATCTAATCTATATATTTAACAACCTTAATTTTGTGTTGTTTACTTTCATCCGCTTAACAGGCCTGTCTTAAATAAATAATGAACAAAAAACTAATAATATTTACGAAAAACTGGACACTTTAATGTTATCAATAATTAACAAAAATATTGAATAACAGAGTCTATAAATTTACATATTTTATTCTCGCGTTGACTCTGTAGAACAAAATATGTTATATAGAACAAAGTGAATATGTTATTTAGACAAACATTAACTTTACGCTGTACATTATTATAACTTATAGTTAGCCTAGGTTCTTATCTATTCTATACATAGTTTGAGGCACTTAGCTTTTTTTAATTTATATAATATTATATCAGTTATATATAGGTACTCTATGTACTTTTCCACGCAAGAAGTGCGATTTAATCTTTACACAAATACAAATAAAACTTTTAAATAAGGCATTTTAACGGTTTAAAACGCGATATATATTAGTTAAACTTGTTGAGAAATAATTTTAACTACCCGACGTTGCGGATGCGAGACCGTGACCGCGGCTGCAAATCATCCGAAATAAGCCTCAAAAAAAAAAGGTTTAACTAATATAGATCGCGTTTAAAACTGTTAAAGTGTCTTATTTAAATGGGTGTGTGTTTAAATTAATGATTTTAATTGTGAGTAAATCCATGTTTTCTTCTCAACAGCGTTGTTCTCTCTGTGACCATGCTGGTGACGGTTGGTTACAACTTGACGGTTGATGATACGACGGAAGCGCCGATGATTAACTTGACCGCCGTCAATCCGGATTTTCAACCGATTCTGAAAATGTCTCTGCCGCTAGAAGGTAAAGGCCTCACACTTCTGATTATTAGTCCCGTGTGGTTGATGTAGATGTAAATACTACTAAATAGACGAAAATACTATAACGGGGGTAAAATAAATAAATCAAGAAAACCGGTATGGTGGTCTAATGGTAGTCGGTCTAACGGGGCCAGGGTCGACCAACACCAGGTTCCACAAGTCCATTCCAATAAATAAATAAATAAATAAATATATATATATATATATATATATATATATATATATATATATATATATATATATATATATATATATATATATTATATATTTTTTTAGTTTTCTCTGGAAATCTAGATATTATATAGGTGGTAGAAATATCGGAATTCCGTCCGTATCACAACCACCGACGAAAAAGGCGTTTCTGTTTCATGTGGATTTGCCGAATATTTAAAGCCATAGAGTGATATAGTACATTGTTAATATGTTATATAGCTGCTTGTGCTTTTCTCTATCATAAAAAAGTTCGAGAGAAGTTCAAGGTTAAATAATATCTTTTGTTAATATATTCGTGACATAACATGTTATTTTTCCATTTTATTTGAATTTAGTTAAGCCTAGTATATATTAGAATAATAGTATAGCTGAAGTATTTCACGTACCTACTAAATTCTGAGTAAGAGCATCTTTCAAATTGGCAAGGAACTCGTTTCAAAAACAATTTGAAGCCTTCCACTTAAACAACAGTTCATTCGTATGACAATTATGCAAAGAAGACTTACTTATTCCGACACAAGTGCATTTTCTGAATATGATTATTATATGACTTCTTGAATACCTACTGCTTACCTACAGGTAGACATTTTGATGTATACATGAAATTCGATAATATTCTGCCAAACTGTGGTTTGTCATTTGATAACTAGTTCAAGGATTAACATTCACGTTAAGTTTAGCTTATACAAAGCCTAAAGGTACCTGTAGAGACCTAAATTATGTAGCGTTGTTTATGAGTTCGACGTGCAAACAAATTATAAATCCAAATTTATTTCACCTTATCAAAGTTCCTAAAAAGACCCGCGACATTACAGATATATATATTAATATTATAAAGCTAAATAGTTCGAACGCGCTTATTTCAGGGACTCCTGGTCTGATTTGATTTATTTTTGTGTTGGTTGGACCATTTATCGTGGAAGGCTTTAGGTGATAACATCAGGCTGTGACTAATAGAAGCGAAGAAACAGAGGCAAATGTGGAAAAACGGGAGAAATATTTTATTTGTCGGTTTCCGTTGCGTGCGCTGCAAAAACGGTTCAAGAAACCAAAAAAATATATATAAAAGAATGATTCTTCTTAAATGATGTAAAAAAATGTCCAATATATATCTATCTTTTAAGTTTGACTTGCAAGAACGACAGAACGCGATCGACGTTGTCGGTTACAGCTATAATAATTACATATCTTCGTAGCAAACTAACCGCTCTCTTTTAAAATGTATACCATAAAAAAATATTTTTTTATTTACTATCTAACTACTACTACTAGCCAATTCTATCCATTTGATTACCCAAGATAATAAATGAATGTAGCTAAGTCATTCATTTATCAATTCTGTAATTTGTACCTACTCGCCTTTTAGGACCACCCCCACCAGAATGGCCGTTAGAAGCAACAAGCACAGAAGATATTGCATCAGCTGTGGCGAAGGGCAATGCCGCGTTGCAAAAACGAAGAAAGATGGAGAGCATTCTAACTCCACTGGATAAGGATTCACCAGCATCCAGGGCGCAGCGGGCAGCGGCTACTTCAGCTGATATAAAACCCTTGGCTGATGTTGCTTACGCTGCAGAGCAGGCTACAAGGAGCCTTATTGATGGGTAAGTATCAAAAATCGTACATCATCATTTAACTGCCTCTAAACGGTTTGCAATGCGTTAAAAATTATTGATTCTATGTTGATTTATAATTGTTCAGAAACATTACGTAATCTATAAATATTTAGGACTTTTGTATTTGTTTTTTTTATAATTTGGTAATACTGGAGGTTCCCTAAACTTCAGTATTTTGTGTGTTAAGTTTCTTAATTTAAAATAAAAGTATATGTACTTACTTTTACATTAAAGTTTAGTAATACTTACAGTTGTTTATTATAACATTTTGTTTATCTTAAAGATGCTCAATGTTACCGATCCCAGTTTTACCAATAGACATTGCAGCTTTGTCTCAACTATAAGTTCTTAAATGAGATAAACGAAAAAAATCTATATCAGTAACATGATCATTAAATGTCACGTACGACATTTTTTTATTATTTTCTCATAAGATTGACGTCATTGGTCGTATTTTGTTTTGTTTTTATAGCCAAACTAGTAAGCTCGTAGAACCACTTCGCCGGAAATGTTTCACGATACAGAATTCACTTAGATTTAAATTAATTAATGAAATCTTTTTTGTCAAAATTTTCGTTATGTAGTATAAGTAGAGCTGTATAGCATAGAGCACTATTTATAGACGATAGTAGTGAGCCACTGGAGGATCCTAGGGAGGGAGGGCGAGTCATTTGGTTCTCCTCCTGAGCTGGTTCCAGCATTTAGGTGGCTCCAAAACTTATCCGCCATTGCTAATTAGAGAATGTTAGGTGGCATAACAGGATTCCTGGTGTGACAATTTTTAATCTGAACAAAGTTCATGTGTTGTATTTAATCTGAAGGAAAAGTAGAACTGTATTTACATTACTAATTGGATGACAGTCGACTTGTCCTAGTTAGGCTGTAATGCTGAATGACCTAGTCTTCCGGCCAATTAGGCCAATTGCTCAGGACGCCTAGGACAGCAATCGGTTCCTTTATTGTTTCTATATTTCAAACGAACAATAAAGGGCTAGAGTCGATTCGAGCTTCGGTTTCTGTTGGTGGGTTTCTATGTCCCGAAGAACAATACGTCAAAACCGGATATATAGCTAGGGCTAGGCATTTTTACTTCCATCAAATACGAGTTAGCTTGGCTTGTAGGTCTTTCTTTATAATAAGCAAAAATCGTAATTGAATTTCCTATTTAAAAAAAGATTTCCTATAAATATGTACTTTTTAATAACAAGGAAGGACCGATAAGCCTGGTGTTCACTTTGGGGAAGATGTAATAGCCCAGTCTTACATCTTTCAATTTCAGCCGCCTCTGTAGCCCCAGGAGGCAGGGCACAGGAGTCTGATCAACTACTTGCCTGATAAAGAATGGATCAGTGAAACGGACAAAAAAATGTGCTCGCCCCGTGCCGTAAAACATGAATTCACTTTATATCATTATAATATATATAGTTATTATATATTTTATTCTATTCAGTCATTAGTTTCCGACAGGCAACATTCTAATTTGTTTTCTTTGACGCATTGACGGGACCACCGAGACATCAACATATTTTTCCCTACCACCTCTAAGTGTACCTATGTGTACGTGAGGAAATGCCATTTGCCCTTGCTCCGTTTCACTGAGTGGTACTATTTACAGAGAAGTATTTGATCCGACTTCTGTGCCCTGCTCGACTGAAACAATCTATCGTTTTACCCGGGATTCGCTAACTCCTTGAACGCTTAACGCAATGCTAGGCAACACGTTTAACTAATTTACCAAGAAAGGCGGTCAACCTGAAGTGAATTCCCCATACTTATTATCATTGTGATTCAGAATAAAAACAGTTCAATAAACTTTAATTAACACTTCAGGGATTACTTGCTATAATTTCCCTTATAACCAATATAACAGGGAAGGCATAATCCTGATATGTAACCCGATACGCGAAACCTCTTGTCTAGCTTTAGTTTGGCTTCGGCGTAGCCCAGGCTGGACCAAATACAGGTATTAGATAATTCAATTGTTTGGTCAGTGTCTATCCACCTGGTTAATTCTATATCGACGAATCCGGCTTAGAAGCCTTAATAGGTTTTCGATACGTAATGAGGTCCTACTCCAATTTCCCCCAAATTTGTCGTTAGTAAAATTTGATGAAATGAGACACAATTATTTGCTTCCTATTGTAACTTATTTATTTGATGTTTTCTGCTTTTCTAGATTCGGAGCATATTCTAAAGAAGTGCTTTTATGTTTATTTTTATCATTACCATATTATGAGGACTAGCTGTGCCAGTGACTTTATCCCTGGAGTTATTTCCACCTTTTTTTCCCATTTCTCACTATTTCTTCGCTCCTATTTATTGCAGCGTGCAGCCTTCCTCGATAAATGCTCTAACAAACAGAAAATATTTTTTCAATTCAAATCCGTAGTTTCTGAGATAAGCGCAATCTACCAAACAAACGTTTCAGCTTTATAATATTAATATAGACTATATTTAATTTATTTCAGGACGAATTCATCAATGTTAGATGGCAGCGTGGGGATAGGACCGATGATAAATGGATCCTTCCCAGAGCCGCCGTATTGCAGGCCAGCTACGACGCCGTGTGAGCTATCGAAATATCGAGCTCAGGATGGCTCTTGCAATAACCTTCAAAATCCTCTTCGTTGGGGAGTCTCAAACACGCCGTTTAGACGAGTTCTCCCCGCGTCTTATGGTGATGGTAAGTTTTTAAGTCATTCAATGGAAACGCGAAAAAACCTGAATCTTTAACCTAAATAGGTTTGTGTTCCATCTTATAATAGTTACGTTGTAATGTATTTTTTTAACAGGTTGTATTCTCCCAATAGATGTACTATTATATATGTACAAAATATAAAATTTACAATTTTAGAAAAATAAAATATTGATACTGCTGGCAAAAACCATTTCAGCTATTTGCAGTTTCTTACTAATATTAAAAGGTAACCTCCTTGAAATGGACCGCCTCTGTAGTTAAAGGGTAAAACGTGTTGCCTAGCATTGGGTTCAGCGCGAAAGGTCCTGTGTTCGAATTCCGGGGAAACAGTTCAACTACTTGCCTGTAAATAAAACCGATCAGTGTGTGTTCGCCCAATGCCCAATGAGGGGAAACGGGATTTTACACCCTTTTTCCTTGAAAATGTAAAGGCTAAGATGATGATAAGATGCTTGAAATTGTTTTGTCACAGAATATAAAACTACCTTCCGGTTGTTTTTAGGTATAAGCTCTCCAAGGACAGGAGTAAACGGCGTCATGCTTCCAAGTGCAAGAGACGTGAGTGTGACTGTACACAGGCCAAGTTACGCCCATGACTCTACATTGACGGTGATGCTGGCTGTTTGGGGACAGTTCATTGACCACGATATCACCGCTACTGCGTTAAGCAAAGGTAAAACATATTTTATAATCCGTAATATATAATATAAATTTCTTTTGTTTATAATCATGCGAGTCCTGTGACAGTAGGTCGCTGGGTTAGAGCAATAGCACGTAACGTCCGTGTCGTACAATCGTTTTTTCAATTTACAATCGATTTTTAATTTATATAATGCTATCGTGTGATATATACTTAAATTTTCAAACTATTATAATTTACGATTGGTGACACTTACCCTGATTTCCTTAACTTTAGCTGGCCTTCAACCGGGTTACAAAATTAGCTGAGTGGCCCCGTGACCACGGCTGCTGCAAAGCATCCGATACGTCGGACCGTAGTTAAAATAATATTAAAACTAGTTTAACAATTATATTTTGCGTTTTAAACCGTTAACGTGTTTTATTTAAATAGCTGAGTGTATTACCGAATTAGCGCGGATTTGCCGATGGGATATTTTTCATCCTTTTATTATAAACAGCACTAAACACCTAGTGATAATAATCTTTTTAAAATAAAAGCCTTACTACGTCACACTTTTTCAGACCGTATTGTGACGACTTAAGTTTAAACGACTTAAAATAAAGAATTATAATTTCTACATTTGTTATACTGACCAATATCTTGTTACATTTCAGGTGAAAATAGTTCCTCGCTGCAGTGCTGCAATAGCAAAGGCCCAGTACATCCTGAATGTTTTCCGGTGCCTTTGGACGAGGAAGATCCATATTACCAAGACTATAACATCACCTGTATGGAGTTCGTCCGATCAGCTCCAGCTCCCACCTGCCATTTTGGTATATATTTATTTTTATATGTGATATTACTGAGGACTTGGTAATTTAATAGGTGCTATTCGAACAAAACTTACAAATGAAAATTTACATGACCTGGTAAAAAAAAATTGTGACCAATATACTTAAACTAATGCATAAATAACTGTTACGGAGTTACGGTAACTCTACCTCTACGTCTTAATAGATATTGTTATATTTAAACATTATCTGTGGTTATCTATTGTGTTTCATCTTAATTCAAATAATAACGGTTTTAAACTTTGAAATAGACTTGAACACACTCTACTATTGCTCCTTATCCCGTTAAAGTTAAAATAATTGTTGTTTTTTATTTATTAAAGTTATTTATATATATCTTATAGGTGCTCGCGAGCAACTGAATCAAGCAACGGCATTTCTTGACGCCTCTGCTGTGTATAGCTTTGCAGAGAAAAAGACTTGGAAGCTACGTGAAGGTACCCGGGGACAGTTAAGAATGCTAAGGATTGGTCCTTGGCAACTTCTGCCACCTTCTACTGACCCAAATGACGGATGTAACACAGTAGAGATGAACGCAAAGGGACGATATTGTTTTGAATCCGGTAAATGTTTTGTGTGTTTAACATTGTGGTAATTCTCACTTTAAACGACGTAGGTATACACTAATAACAGATTTTGTTACATATGAAGCTTTTAGAGGCAGAGTAGCCTAACCGCAATTTTATGACTTGAGTTATTTATATTATCATAGTCTAAAAATGTTAATGTACAAGAAATTTGTTAACATTATTTTTACACAACACGTGCAAATTTATTATAGCCTATGTTAATTGCGCATTTTATTTTTACTTATTGAAAATCATGTTTTTGTTATTAGGCCCGTCTACCTCTAGCAGCCTCATTTCGAAATCCTATTGTGGGGCAAAGAGCGGATTTTCAGGGATACATTTTTGTGCCTTGCAAGGCTATCTGCTGTTGATCAAACTCACTAATTATTTCACCGCGATTCGAACTCACGTTCCCGCGTTGTTATGGTTACTGACGTGGCCATATGGATTATACCTCCGTATCTTTGTATGATTAAGTTATTTTTATTGATAGAGGATACAGACAAGCACGGCACACCGCGGCCTATAGCATCTAAACAAGATGCACTGTCGGGATTATGGTTTTGGATATTCGGAAATCCACAGACTAAACCCGAAACGCGATTGAACTTTACTTTTTCATTTGTGGGCGGTGGTTCGTGACGCACAGAAAACAGGTGGTAGAAAAATTATGAATTGATTAAAACATTTGTTTTCGGTTCGACCCGGTGGAAATCGAACCCACGCTTCGTTGAATTTTACATTACTACCATTACGACATAGGTACCATAACGAACCCCTCTTTTTCTCTTCTTAATCAAGGTGACGAGAGAGCCAACGAGAATCTCCATCTAACCACGATGCATCTTATCTGGGCGCGTCAACACAATCGGGTGGCGACTGAGCTGATCAAGCTAAACCAACTTTGGTCTGATGAAATGGTCTTCCAAGAGGCTCGACGAATAGTAGGCGCTCAAATGCAACATATAACTTACTCTGAATTCTTGCCAGCTATACTAGGTAGTGTATAGTTAAAAGTATATTGCTGCTATTGAGAGAGATCTCAAAAAATGTTTTTTTTTAAGTATATAAGTAGACGTTACTCACCACGACTTCCGCCTCTCTTTGTTCTTGCGTGTAATTCTTAAAAAATAGACATAGGTACTGTCGTGGACACGTTTTTGGTTGTTGAGAGAGTAATCATTCATTCACAGATATGTTTTGGAGAAATCCAAAAGTTTAATAATTTTCTCAGTGTTTCCACATGTCCCACTGCGCTTGCATCGATCGCAACGTGATGTTATATAGCCTCAAGCCTTCCTGATAAATGCTCTATACCAAATACCAGCACAAAAATATTTTTTGATTTAGAACCTAATAGTTCAGGAGATTAGCGCGTTCAAATGAACTTTTTATGATATTAGTATAGATTTTATGTAACAATGATACTTATTAAAAAAACTAACTTCTCCATGATATTATGAAATAAATTCAAAGCTAGCTGTACTTAGTGATTATTTTATCACGGAAAATGAAAAGGAAAACAAATGAAACTCATAAATTACTTTACCCTCTAACAACAAACATCCAATGTGTTTATCGACAAGCTTCAGAGAATATTGTCATTTTACTTATATATTGTATTAACTTTTACAGGTGTTGACGTGATGTGGGCCCTGAACTTGACACTGCGTAGCGAGGGCTATTCCAGCATTTATGATCCCTCTGTTGACCCATCAATCGCTAACCACTTCGCTTCATCAGCGTTCAGATTTGCGCATACATTGCTACCGGTTCGTTTTTAGAACCTTGTTAGTTAGAATTAATTAGACAAAATTCTTTAAAATATTATCTGTAGTTTATGCAACTGGTACACGTTTAATATTATTTAGTAAAACGTTTAAAGTTTATTAAATTTAATAAAAAACACTTAACTGTGCCGTCTTGGTCAAAGAGAACGAGGGCGTGGGGACACAGCTGCTGAACAGCATCCGAAACGTCGAGCCATAGTTAAAACAATTGTAAAAAAGTGAATTAATATATTTCGCTTTTTAAACCGTTAAAAGTGTTTTATTAAATACTTGAATTTAAGCAAAAAATATGTATTCTGAGGTTATTTAATTAGGCTATCTGTAATCTTGAGCATTATTCGGAATACTTAAATTTAACTATTATATTATCTGGGGTATCTATTCCCGCGTTATATATATATACTTTTTAACTTCGTTAACAAATTATCTTGTAACCTATTAAGACTCTTTTCCATTTACAGGGTTTGATTCATAACGTAGACGTGAGTACTGGTACGGTGAGCTATACCCACCTGCATGAAATGCTATTCAACCCCTTCGCCCTCTACAACACGGACAAGGGGGGCAAGACATGCAGTAAAGTCGGCTATGGACACGCCCGTGCATGCTGTTGACCCGCATGTTACTTCTGAGGTAATCTATACTAATATTATAAAGACTAAAAAAAATCGATTAGAAATTCCATCCCATCCACATCCCATCGAGCTACGGAGTCCTTATTTTTTTCAACGTATAATAGATTTTTAATTTATATAGTGCCATCGTGATAACCTGTGAAAAATATTAAAGTTTTCAAAGTATAAAGAATTTGTTTGTTTGAACACGCTAATTACACATTGAAAAAATCATTTTGTTTTATATATGTAGCTATATTTATCGAGGAAGGCTTTTCATCTGTGTACGGTGATCCGCACGGTATTTCTGATTCCTACGTACCACCTATTTAATTTGACAGCCTCTGTAGCTTAATTTAACGTGCTGCCTAAGAATGCGTTAAATGCGAGAGGTCCTGGGTCCGAATTGCAGGAAATCTATAGACTCTTACGGTCGTGCTGGTCACAGAAAACTAATCAACTACTTGCCTGTGAAAGAATCGACCAGTGCAACGAACACAGAAATGTGTTCGCCCCATGCCCATAACCATGTCCAATTTTCCAAACGTACTCTGTGTAAGCATGATTATGAAAACGTCCCATTAGCCGTACATATTACATACACAATCTCATAAGACAGCTTATATTCCCATTTATCTTTTAAAAGTGAAATAAACATTTCAGCTTAGCAACCACCTCTTCGAGCGCCCAATTGTCATTAACACATCAATAACAACGACGACCCCTCGAGACACTATGCTCCATCCTTGCGGTCTTGACTTGGTCTCCCTGAACATCCAAAGAGGTAGAGACCACGGTCTACCGTCCTACCCCGCTTGGCGGGAGCTCTGTGGCCTCTCCAGACCAAAAACGTTTGATGACCTCAAAGCCATATTTGATGAGCTGTCACTAAGTAGAATCTGCAAGATATATCAGTAAGGAATATATTTTTTGTTTGTGTTTTTTAATGTACAATCACGATCTTAGATCATCATTATATTTATAAAATTTCAAAATAATTACGCTTTTTTTAAGCCACCGCCACTGTAAATCGCTTGCTAAACTTTTGCTTAGCATTGCGGTAAGCGCGAGGGTTCATATCTTGGGTGGGGCAGGGCTCAGGATCTGTTAAGACGACGTTTATTTTAATTAGAAACTCTCCAAAAATTTAATGATAAAGAAAATAATATTTTTGATGGTTTCAAACGAGTGAATTTTAGTTAACCTACAACTTAACTTAACTCAACTTAACTATTAGTTATGTTAACCACGACTTGGCCTTTCGGATGCAAATAACAATAAGGTAACTTAGATATTACCCATTTTAGACTGTTAATTGTGTTTTATGTAAACGTGTACTCGAGTACACATTATTCTTATACAATATAGGACTAATTGTATTCAGCTTCAACTTCTTATTACAGGAGTGTCGACGACATCGACCTATATACCGGAGCACTAGCTGAAAATCCCAGGGGCAGACTTTTGGGCCCAACACTGACTTGTCTCATTGCAGACCAATTTTATAGGCTCAAAGTCGGAGATAGATTCTGGTATGAAACGGATGATCCAGAAATTCGATTTACTTTAGGTGAGTTTACTGTATCTTTATCTGTAGTTAACTGATATTATCCATCTGAGATCTATAGTCTGTGATTTTCTGAATGTCAAACAATGCCAAAACAGCTTGACAGCACATATTGTTTATATGTTTCCATCAAGAAAACCCATGTTTGTCTGTCCTTTTCTATCATAAATAACGTCACGCATACCTTGGCAGATTGTCTTAAGCCCTTTAAAAGGCCTTATCCCAGCTGTGGGAAAACGTTTCCATTGCTGATAACTATAATTTATAATTATAATCAGGTATAAATTAGACACAGTCAAAGAATTATGTTTTATACGCCTTATGCTTTTTTAGAGCAATTACATGAAATTCGTAAAACTACATTGGCCGGTATAATTTGCGCTAACGAAGAGCTACTGGATCAAGCCCAACCGAGAGTGATGGAAGCTCTTAGTGCGACAAACCCTTTAGTAGACTGCAAAGAACTTCCCCAACCAGACTTCACACCATGGAAAGAAGGTGGACCGAAAGAAACGAAAAATAAGAAGGGTAAAAAAAGTCGTTTGTAGATTCTAGTGTTTATTGTCTGTCCTGTTATTTAATAAAAATTGACATAGTATTATGTGAAATCAATCCTTATTTATTTGAAATATAATTCGAAACTAGAAATAATGCTTATTTTATACAGCGTAAACTCTTTAACATTATTTTATATAACGGTAATCTCTTTATTAAAATTTGTTTGGTTTTCCTTAAAACCTTCATACTGATATTTACTTCATACATCGTTAAGTCTACCGATAAATATGTTTGAAGGAGTTTACACTGAATAAGAAACAATATTATGAAAAGTAATAAGTTTTATTTTTGCGCCGAGATTAATTTCCTTGTATTATTATTTACGCAAAATATCTCTTCAAGTACTGTATATTTTGTTTTTAGTCAGTAATTTTAAAAATTTTTTTATTTAAACAAAACATTTGTATATTTAAGTAAAACACTACTATTTCTAATTCTATGCGATATAAAAAGTGCCTTGATTTTTGTGTGCCAAAATTATCTTAAATTGCATAATAATATTTTAAGTATAGTAATAAGATCCCTATAGAATAATTTACTGTTAAAACCCCTTTTTACCTCATACCAATATCACGTAAGTGCATAATATATAAGTTATGAATTAATTGTTAATCAATTTGTAATAAAGTTTGTTTACAAACATTTGCTTTTAATTAAAAAAACCAATACCGTAAAACAAAAAAGGAAGAAATTAGTATTTAAAATAATATACATAGTAGAAATTCCCTTTGCAGTTTGTACGGTACATTGGGACGGACACATTGATCGATCTTAACAATTTTATTTAAAGACATAGTGTCTACTACGCTACTACAAGACGCTGTCTCCCCGAGATTCGAACCCAGAAGTTCTTGTAACGCAATGTTAAGCAATGTCGAGCCAAGTATAGACTTTAGGAATTAACTTACTGGATTGTAAAAGATATTAATTAGAGAGTCTTGGCAGTGAATGTCAGACTTATGGTTGGCACCAATGATTGGCAACATGTTTACATTACTTGTTATTGGATTAATGTATGCAAAATACAATCCTTTTCGCCTCAACATGCATAGCTATTAAGCACGTTTGGGTAACTAGAATATATGCTGCGCCGTTTACAAAACTTCTTGCCCATCCCCACTAAAATTTTGCTTGCGAGTCATTTTTGTTATCCTTACTCGACTATGCCGATGTTTTTTATTTAGATCTAACTGAGGGACAAATAAATAAGTTGGAGAGGCTTCAAAATGTCTCGATTAGTTTTATTTATGGTCTCCGGAAATACGACCACGTGTCAGAATTCCGTGCTAAACTCAAAGGGTTGCCTATTAGACTCTGACGAAACACTAACATCCTCTGTCTTCTTTTCTCTATTCTATTTGATCCGCACACTCCTACCTACCTAAAAACAAGGTTTTATTTATGGGTTCTTCCCATGAACTTGACCTTCGGTCCTCCTACAACCGTCTCCTTTCTATACCTGACTCATTCATCTAAATGCTATGACTCTTATTTTTTTGTACAGGCTCTCCACCTATCGAATAAGCTGCCACCCGCGATTAGGCTCTTACAAAGTCTTAACTCCTTCAAAGCCAAAGTCAAACAATATTTTCTTCAAAGTATTGTTAAGTCCTGATTTTATTGGCTTATACTTTTATTATTTATAAAATGGCCTCTTTGTAAGATCTAAATTTAATCTTAAGTTTTTACTTTTTAGTGTGTTAACGTTTTCTGTTGTATTTAATATCATTGTAATTTACATCTTATTGCATTTTCTATCTTATTCATTTATTGGTATTTTGTTTTCCTTTTCATTATACAAAGGTTGCCTTTGCATTAACTCTTTTATGTAAAGAACTAATTTAGTACTCGGCCGATCAGCCCGAAAGATATGCTGAACGATGGCCGTGAAAGCCTTACACAATTTATTAACTAATTTAGTATATTTGTATTTTATGTGTTTGTGCAATAAAGTGTTTTATTATTATTAGAAATAAGATTAATATTGTAATAGAAAAATAGTAAGATTTACAAAAAAATAGTTAAAAATACGAAATTTGTTTATGTATTATATAATTAGGTACACTAACATACAGACACATATGAAACTATAATTATAACCGGCGGCTCTTCAGGCAAAAAAGAAACTAAAAGAAGAAAGAAGGTTTAAAGAAGGGCAACCCTAAACAGAAACATAAACTCGAATGTAGACAAATCGGAGTCTACACTTTTATTATTAAATAAAAAACACGTGCTACCACAACAATATTGTCGTTGATAACGGTGAGAAACAAGAAACATTTACAAACATTACGTTCGCGTAGACCTTCGAGATATTTCTAGTTATCGGTACACGTGATCAGAAGCGTTTTTACTTCTAATCAATTATCAAATACTGTCTATAGTTTACGCGAGTAGTACACATTTAAATAAATCACTTTAACGGTTTAAAACGCGATATATTAGTTACCGTTAAAGTGTTTTATTTAAATCATTTATAACCTAAACCGCGGAAAATGATAAAGATACGAAATGTTTAGGATGCCTTAGAGCGCCTACTATTATTTTAGTGAAAATTTTAAAACTATTGTTGAACATGTTACATTTAAAATCATCACTTACAAAATACGTTCATAGATAACATAAATAACATATGTTGAGAGATCTATACATGTTATTGTACTATATATGTATAAGTAAATAAAAAAGTTACATTAAACTTGTCCTGGAGAGGGTGGCTCATTTTAGTTAGAGGAGCACGGAACGCTGTGGACACCGGTTCAAGTTAAATAAAAAAAAAGTGCTGCCCATGTCGCAATATTTTTAAAAAATATTAGCTTCCTTAAGTCACTTTTCCAAGCAGACGGGCTAAACTAAGAAATTTTAAATATGTTTAATCCATCGGGCAGCAAGTAAAGACGTACTGATTTACGAACTAAGAATTATGGATTGCAAGCCTATCGCCCTGGCCTCGGTCATGTGTCACGTTCCCCGTACACGTGACGACGAAAGCCGCACGTGTCAGGCGTGCCATAAAATTGGGCATTATTTAAAACTGTGCCGAACTTTAGGGCCTTTCCCATTCTATTATTAATTTTCTCATACACTAGGTTGTATATTTCTCTTTTATATCTGAAGGAAATGTAATATTATCCACTATAGATAATGCACCGAGTTACTCCTTCACTGGGCTACCTCGTATATGGCTAAAACAAGAAAAAATACTTTGTAAATTTTTATACACATTTAGAGAAAATTGAATAGTATAGATGGCAACACAAAAGCATTTGCTAGAACGCAAGAACGGTACAGAAACCGGTATATTGTGGCAGTACGCTGTAACATTGTCAAGTTTGTTCTAGAATATATGACGGAACGGAATATCCTTTCTTCGCCTCGTTTTCTCAATTTAATGAGATCTTTGATTTAATTTTTTTAAAGTAAAAAGACTGTTTATTATGTTTACATTAACTTAATAAGAAATAAATAGTATTTTTTATTCGTAATGGGAAGGTCAGTCTTAGGATATTACATTCGGGTAACGAACTTTGGTTATTCACTTTTACTGCGTATGACCTATTTGTGTGTATGTTCTGTGAGTTTATTGACCGCAGTTAAATTTCCTGAACTTTTGTTTACTGAACCTTACCTAAACTAGAACAATCTGTAAGTCACAATTCACTCGGGACTCCGGTGACACATTGGATTTGCTATTTCTACCATGTACCTACATATTTTTTGTAACTCGATTTCAGTCGTGTATAAGCTTTTGGTTTTAACGAAAAAATTGTTTTATTAAAGAATGACAAATCATTCCTTTTGTAAATACGTGTCCCTTAACTAAACTCTAAATCATAAAAATTAAATATTATTCCTAGACACGTATATATTACTATATTTATATACCAGAATAGAATAGAAGGTCGTCTATAAAAACCACTTAAATTTATGTAATGAAATGAAGCAGGCGCGCCCACTCCCCAGAGCGTAGCTGCTTTTATTTTTAGTTAAATCGCTGTATGATAGACGTTGATGTTTGATATTCATTACACACAATCATAATATGAAACGAAGACATTATTAGTGCCCTGTTTTTTTAATAACCTGGCTCTGAAACTAAAATACATTATTCAATCATCGTTCTTTGCTTTTCTTTCATTATAATAGTCTATTTTATCTAGTTGCCCCGTCAATTCTGATATTTGTACTTCTTATTATATTGTACTCTTTGATAATACTGAAATTGATTTCAATTTTAAATCCAGATTATCGCAAACATAATTTGGATCTGATAGTCACAGACCTGCGAGATAGCATCCTAAATACCTAAAACAAAATATTGACAGCTGCTGTAGTTTTTTATATAAAAGGTGTTAAGATTGAGCAGAGGTGGGAAGTGTTTTTAAAATTACAAGGATAGATTGAAACTAAATAAAAGCCTTATATAAATAAGTAATATTTATTAGTTAAGTTTGAAGACAAAGTTTTATCACTTACAAACAAACAAATCTATGTTATGATCAGTCTTTGAAATCTAATCCTGCTATGTACGGCCACACTCATAAATTGTTACTTATTATACAGTAGTGTTTAAGAATAAACTACAAAGAGAAAAATTAGTTTAACTTTGAAATAAGTTTAATAAATAGTTGGAAACATACAATTTTATACAATAGTAGAAGATTTAAATAAAATTTTAATCTGCTACTGCATAAAATAACAATGTATGAATGCAAGTGCACAAAAACAAAATTGCATTCCGAAAGCACAAAATAATTGTGAGCCAAATTTCTATTCTGAAATTTTTAACTTACAATTACTGCTAGGTATTTACACAGATAATACAAAATATTTACAACTTTAATTTAAATATTCACTTGAGCCAAACTGAAAATCTTTGTACTAAAACGCACAAAGGTCGTCATCATTCATACTAGTTTTTCATCCACAGCTTTTCTCTAAACATGAAAGATACTTCAGTATAATTTAGTCAAAATAGTAGTTAGGCTAATGTAATATGAATTATTACAATCCAAATATGCTATTGCGATTAATATAGTGTAGTAATAGAAGTGAGCAGTTACAAAGTTAACACACTAGTATGTTTAAATTACAAAACAATATATATTTGAGATCTACTTTGTCTCTACTACTTTATCTGTGGATGAAATCTGGTTGCATATGGCAACCAAAAGTCCTACTAAATTACCTAAATGACTAAATGTCATCATCATTGCAGCTACTCCAAATGCAGATCCTACGTCCAACATAAATCTTCCTCGATTGGAATCTAGGAATGTCCCAAAACAAATGAGCTATTGTCCCGATGTAAGGGTTCCAAATTCACTGCTATTGAGATATTCAACTTTTTAATTAGGCAATGTGTCAGAAAGTATTTCTCTAACAGCTGGAGTTAGTCTGTCAGGGAATTTTATGTCAAAGGCTACTAGAAGATCTCCTTTTCGTGTTGGCTCTTTAGGGAAAGGCAAGCCATATCCAGGGAATCGTTTAACAGTGTAGGGTTTTACGATTTCTCCTTGAAGGTTGACAGTAAGTTTTTCACCAGACATAGTTGGCACTTCAATGATAGTTCCACAAAGAGCCTGAAATTAAAGAAAACAAAGTTAAGTCTCAACAAGAATTAACTCTAACTATAATTAATCTTATATATTAGATAGATTCAATATAACTTTGTAGAGAAACAATTTATGAAGAGGAATGCACAGTACTATACATTCAAATTTTATTATGCTTTAAGCTTACCTGTTTGAGTGATATTTTAGCTGTGTATCTGATATCACTGCCTTCTCGCTTAAAGAGGGGGTTTGGTTTATCCCTAATAATGAACACAATGTCTGCAGGAATCTTATTTCTGCCCTGGTCTCCTTCCTTTTGGAATGTTATCTTTGTACCAGCTTTCCAACCCGGCTTTACATGAATTGTTAGTACTTTGTCTTCCTTCTTCGAAGTCCCATCGGGTTGAATGACTCGTCGTGAAATCTTCATCTTTTTTACACAGCCCCTAGCAATATCCTCAAGAGAAACGTAGAGATCGTGTTCAATTGGTGGATCTTGTGACTTTTCCTTCCTATTAGGTGAGCCACCGTGGAAGTTGAAACTGTGACTCCTAAAAGCGCCGCCGGGTCCACCTTGCCTTCCCGCTCCTCCCATTCCTAGGTTGGCAAATGGATCCATGTCAACTTCCATGTCGCGATCGAAGAACATGGTGTTGCCACCACCGCCGCCATTAAGATCGAAGAAACTTTGGAAAGGACTAGCAGAACCAAAAAACTGCGCAAATGTTGCTTTTGGATCGCCGTGGAAAGTGTATGAGAAAGATTGTCCAACGCCAGAGCCGTTTTTACTCCCAGCACCACCCTTCAGACCTTCTTCACCATACGAGTCGTAAATCTCTCTCTTTTTCTTGTCTGACAACACTTCATATGCTTCTGCTACTTCCTTGAACCGTTCTTCCGCTCCAGGCGTCTTATTCTTGTCCGGATGGTATTTGAGGGCCAGTTTACGGTACGCCTTTTTTAGCTCATCGTCGGACGCTCCTTTCGTCAGTCCTAATATTTTATAATAATCTTTCCCCATGTTCCTAAAACAAAATGAATCTCATTAGAATACACATAACAAGTCATCTCCATTTTTGGAAAGCACTGGTGATCACATTTTTCTAGAATTTACAGAAAAACTCTTGACGAAATTGTGTTTTGATAGTAAAAGCAATGAATCACAACGGCTATAACACAATACTTACAATAATTATTCTAAATATTCTTAAAATCCACAAATAACTACAAAGATTTGACCAAAATAACCACACACAAATCACAACACAATTCACAAGTTCACGCTATCTACTTCACAAATGAATGAAACGTAGCGCTGCCGTCGCGCCAAAATTTATACATTAAAACGTCTAGAACATTCTGGGACCTTCACTCCATGCCAAAATGAGATAAAACATAAACGTAAGCACAAGATGACATTTGTTAGAGCGAGATAAATATAATTTTGTTTGTTCATTCGGACAAACACAATCAGCGAAAGATGACGTACTGCAGTATCAGTTCGTTTTCTATGCACGTTAAAACCGTAATATAACACATTGGAGTCCTATACGCCAATAGCAATCATTGTAAATATAGTTTGACCAATGACATCAAAACTCACAAAATATTCAAATAAATATTAGACTCAATACTGAAGAGCGCATGTGGTAGAAATTTATGAAGAGCGTAATTATTTACAATATAAAAGAAATTTTGTAAATGAAAACAACCTTATTAATACCTGTAGCACTCTGTGTAGACTGTAGGGTGTAAGGTTTTCGTCCAACATTCGTTTTCTCGATAGAAAAACGTTGCAGCTGGAGTTACATTTCTTGTAAATTAGAAGGAAAAAGCTTACTTGATATAGAATTTTTACGACCGAAAATCACGGTGATAAGAATACACACGGAAGGGTTTATTTCTGAAAAATAACATTTTTAGATCCCAGTCTTATTATAAAACAAAACATTTTTATTAAATATTGAGTGTCTGCAATAACCAGTCTGTTCTAAATTAACAGTCCTATATAGGTATTTAGGTAGTATATTTTTACAGCCTAACAGATACACGCTGTAAAAGATATAGTTAGTACCCACCTATTAAATATGATCCACGAATTACGTATTTGGTAAAGGTATTACTCAGATACTAGACCAATATGATCCACAATGACCTAAAAACATTTTTTTTGTATTCTCCGTAAAGCGTAATTTCTTCAATCGACATAATGTATTCTACGCGTTAGGTATGCGAAATGTGCTTTAATTTTTATACCGCCGCATAGTTTTACAGTCTGCATGTTGCATGCATAAAAGAATAAGCTATTGATCCACATACGTAGGTATCTACTGTTAAGAAGTGTACACGTGATGTGACGTCGTTATAACTCGATGTAGGTCAAAGAAACCGAGACATTCACGTGTCCGTAGAATTAATCTAGAATATGAATCTTGATGAACATTCACATTACAACAAGTACCATATTACACGTTATAAAGGGGTAACTTATTGCTATGGTAGCTTATTGAATTGAATATATTACGTCATGCAGTAGCATCAATCTATTTATTGATTGGTGTAATTCCATTAGTTATTGTTTTTTTGATTACTTGGTAATTAATAACATTTGTATAATTGTGAAATAACTAGTTTAAAACCTTTCTCAAATTACTGCTTTGAATTTGACTATTGCCAAACAGGCCGAGTAAAATTTATAGTAGGTAGGTATCTAGTTTAAAAGATTAATACTTATGTAAGAAGCAAGTACCTACATAGTTTTACTGTTACATAGGTTTACTTTGGACAGAAAAAAGGTTGAATTAGTTATACACATAGCGTAAGCAGTTTGGTCTTTTTAGTATTCGTTTTTTTTTGGTGTCGAATTATGTTTATTGTTACAGGGATATAGTATGCCCAGCCGTATGCGTGACACGGAAAGACGACAAGAAATAAATGTCATCAGTTGATTGTTAGGTGTCAAACGTCACGCATGACGCAAATTATCATAAAACTTCACTTTAGTTGCTTGTGTTGAAACTTGTAATTAAACACGGTAGTTATTAGACATGATTTTATTTAATAATATTGTAATATTTATACACATACAATTACATTCATCAACCTTAAAACTTAGATATGTCCTATCTGACTAGTCTCAAAAAGAGCGCGTGTCGACATCCTTTGTAATCGATATCGTAGTATTTTTCGTAAAAATCTTGAATTAATTCTTCGACCTGCAAACAATGTCCTGCGATATATTACAAGTAAAATGTGACAGTTGCAAAGAGAGTGTAAGCGAACCATACATAGAATGCTGTGAATGTGAAACAAATCTATGTTGTTCCTGTTTTGCATCTGGTAAAGAAGTAAATATACACAAGAATAACCACAAGTATGCTGTAAGGAGAAATGATTTTCCACTGTTTGATAACTGCAACTGGTCTGTAAAAGAAGAATGCAAACTTCTCACTGCTTTATCTACGTATGGTTATGGAAATTGGGACGAAATAGCTACATTTGTTCATACGCGGTCGAAATTGGAATGCTTGGAGCATTATAAGAAATATTACATAGAATGTGTTCCATTTACTGAATTAAAACTGTTACCAGACACTAATCAATCATTGTTTCCTAAACCTATTGTACCATATCTTTACAGTATTGAATTGAGTAGTAATCCACCGAGAAATAACCAAGGAGATCCACATTTAGCTGGTTATAATAGTCACAGATCGGAATTTGAACACAGTTATGATCAGAATGCTGAAAATATATTTAATATTGTTGATGACACATATTCAGAATCTGAAGATGAAGATGAGAGTATGGATGCTTTAAAAATCAGTCTCATAAGAGCATTAAATAATCGTCTGCAAGAGAGACAACGTAGATATAATATAATACAAAACCAAGGTCTTATAATGACAAATAAATTACTTTCATGGGTTAAGAAGTTTGATTTAACATTGTCGAGAGTGAAAGCTGATAGGTTGTTAACATATATGCAGTTTATGACTGGTATGCAATTTGATACTTTTATGGAGTCAATGAGCTTAGAAAGTGCATTGTTTCAAAAATATGTCAGACTAACAGAGTACCGTAAAAGTGGTATAAAAACCTTGCAATCAGCTCGCCTGTACAAGCAGTTAAAAGTAAAAAATGAATTAGCTGTTAAAGAACAAAAACACTATAGTTTAATAATGGCAAAAAAGTTTGAAAGTCAATCACCAATTAAGTTTAAACAAAGTCCAATACAACACATCATAGGAAATAATTTTGGTAAAAAGATCAAAAGATCATCAATGCCTCTAGATATTTTGGATCTGCCTGGATTTCACCTACTGTCAGAAAGTGAAAAAACTTTATGTTCCCAAGTGCGCTTGAGGCCAAGGAATTATCTAGAAATTAAAAATCTACTCATTGCTGAATATCATAAATTAGGGTTTCTACGTTTGCGTGATGCAAGAAGAATTGTAAAAATAGATGTGAATAAAACCCGTAAACTATATGACTACTTGATTGAAGAAGGTTTTATAGCAAAGCCCTTAGTTCCATAAGTTTAATGAATAAACATTTTGTACCCCAATAGCTTTGTGATTTATTAAAACAGTATTTGTTAAAATTACCTTAAAACCAAATTTTTGGTAAAGGAATACAGCTGGATTAGTTGGTGAAACATGAAGAGTCACATCTTGACCAGAACATGTCTGAAATAGATAAGTATATAAAACAATTATCATTGAATAATAACGAGTATTTATAATCATCAATATTAGGTTTTATGAAAAATTACTAGATTCCCACCTGCAACAAATGATAGAGCATAAAGGAAGCAATGTTAGCACGCCTCCATTCTGGTCTGGTTAACACAAAAGAGATGTATGCCTGATTATGACCTGCATCTGGTACAAGAAAGGCGCATCCTATCACTAACTTCTTGTAGGTGACTACACAGCTGAACTCAGGGTACTGAAGTGATTCAGTCACTGAAAATAATAAAATTTTAAGATAAGCAGTTTTTTTTATTATTTGATATTTTATAGCTTTGGTAGAATAAAATATAGTAAGTATAAAATTTGATAAAACCTATGTTTGCGGTAGTAAAACAGGAATTACAACGCAAGATAAATATTTTTTTCTACTTTCTCTCCTTACAAACTTACGGTCGATCCCAGGCCAAAAGAATTGCGCGCACAACTTGTTGACTGCAACGATATGTTGTGGCTGAACGTAAGAGTAGTCTATAGTACTCCTGGGAGGGGGAACATAGTCCTCTTCGTTCCTGTAAAACAACTTTGTCTTAAAATGAATATATAGATGTGAAAATACAGAATCCTGTGTGGTAATAAAACCATACTGGCTTGAAAGTTCAAAATTTTTAGGTACTCATTAAACAGAAATCGCGACATGTGCAATTGTGAATCCTTAGACCGGGAACTTTAATGATTAGATCTTTATGGAGTTAGAAACTTACCTATGTGTCCTTTTAAGCAACTCGTCCATCAGTTTCAACCAAGTGGGGGTCGTCTCAGAGTCGCGACGTATATAAGGCTTGAGGGTAACTCCAGAATACGCAGAACGAAATGGCGTCAATTCAATATTAGAAAGTAGCACGGTGCCATAATTTGTGCTGGCTATCATTCCACTGAGGTTGTCAATAAGGTACTGTAGGAACAGAAAATAATATGGTATTTGTAAAAAACATAAATATTCGCTAATATTATGGTTCAACATATTCAAAATATCTCACCGTTCTCTGGAATCTATCTAGAACCCTCTCTATATTGCTGACCGTTTTCTTATCATCTGTCACATAACCTCCGAGGATTTGAACTGACCTAAAAAGGAGAATTATTATAAACAAATTCCACCAAATAATTAATTAAAACACCTTGTATTATATACGATCTAAATAAAAAATAAAAGATTATTAATTGAATTAATGATAATATGTTTTAATATTAATATAAAAGACTACCTTTGGAATGGTTAACTATGGAATATATTGAACAACATACCCAATTGTGAGTGTAAATCGCTCCAGAAAGAGATTTTAGGATAGGCTTCTGGTGTAACTTGGAGTTTGAGAGAATATAACAACATACTTATCTAAATCAAACATGGGCAAGTGTTTGTGTCGTTTTAGTCTTCGTAACGCCAGCTTTGCTTTCAGTCTGCACAGATAGGCATTTTTATTTGAATCCTTCACTTTTTGAATTAAACCTTCCACAGTTTTAAGCAGATGAATCTCTTCGTATTCTGACATTTCCACAACCTCATTGGTAGGCTCTTTTTCAGCAAGCCAGGGCATATCTGTCAAAAGTCAATAATATCTGTAAAATATATGTCCAAAGCCACTCTGAATGCCTCAAAACTGTCTGGGGATTAACCAAAAATATCAGATAATAAAGATTTGAAAATATATTCCACATTATACACACACAACATTTACATAATCCTTAAAGGCGGGATCTTACCAACAGAATTAAGCTGTGTAGAAAATAAACTTTCTCTGCTATATGGTACTTCTTCAACCTTTTTTGTTTTGATTTCTTTCCTGACTTCAGAGTCTGATGTTAGTTCTTTATATGAGCTATGCGAATCCGAGTCGTAGTTATATAAGTGTTTATAGGAATGTACACTTGAAGAATCACTCTAAAAATATATTACACAATATATTTTTTTTGTTTGTTTAAATAATATTATTTAATTTAAAAAAAATATTTAAATGAGTTGTCTCAGTTAGACTTGCAAATAGAATGAAAAATCAGGGAAGAATAGTAGATTACCGGGTATGTGAACCGAATGTTACCTGGGGTATATATGCTGGGGTGTATTCAAAGTTTCTGAACATATTGTCAACATCAGAGTAGTCCCGGGAGGAAAAACTAGCTGTGGATGCCTCTAAATACTCTTCAACCTCTTGTTTTGGCAATGTTACTTTATCTGTCCTAAAATACATATATTTTTATTCATATGTAATATTTATATTTCAAATAAACTGAGTTACGCATGATTTAAAAAATAACTACAAGAAAAATTGTTATACTTATAATTAGATGTAGGGTAGTAATCTTCACAATTAAAATCAGAATCTTCAAATTCCAACTTGATTTTCTTTGCAGGAGGAACCTTTGTTACTTCAGTAAATATTTCTTCAACTAATTGATCTTTGTACCCTGCAACCAATATAATAAAAAACGATATTTTTTTTTACAAAAACGAAAAATAGTTTTTTTTATATTCTTATGGGGCTTAGAAGGTTACCATAAATAGCTAATAGTCAAACCATACAACGTGGAACAGGTTTGAATAAGATGTGTGGCACTTGGATACTGCCACAGTAAAACTATTGCATAGCATATATTTATGAGGCATTTCAACTGCCATCAAGTACTCAAAGCTTGTCTTCCTCTCTCTAAAAAAATACCTATTACCTAATACAAAACATACCTAATTCAGTAACTTTTGCAATAAAAAGGGTTATATCCATTCCAAGTTGATTCCGAGGTCGGCCTTTTGGTTTATCGCGCGATGTCTCCTGAACTGTAATAACAATAAAATTTTCCTTAATGCAAACAATACCATATTCAGATGGAGTTACCTTAACAACTGGGGGAAAGGAGGGTATTTCTTATTACTATATAAAGCCAGATAGTTGACATAAATTGCAAATTTAAAATAATACTAATCTGCAAACCAGAAGTTTCAATAAGGACACTCACAAGTGAAATGTTTTTTTAGGACTAACAGCCGCGGAATGGTACTAGTTCTGATTTTACTTACTTATATGAGCAGCAACAGCTGGGCTGAAGTTATGTTTGAGTTTCCACCATCCACTTTCACCTAACTGTGCCAGTCCTGATTGGAATAACAAGTTGCTATACACTGACAGCGCTCCAGCTATTGTACCTATCCAGTTTTTTTTCTGTTTACTGTAAAGAAGATAACAATATAGAAGTCATAATACCAATAATAAATGTATATGTTTTGAATTTTATACATATAATGTATGTAAAAATAAGCCTTAAAAAGGTGATATTCACTGCATGGAACAGATTAGCTCTAATTCTACATTAACTCCTTTTAGTCACCAATGTTTCACTTGATTACTCCTTTTATTCACACTGTTTCACAGCAACAATTAAGATGAGAAGCCCAATTCTTGCATGTATGTACTTAAGTCAAAGATATGATTTATCACTGAGAAGATCAATAATACTGTATACCTACAATTGTGATCCAAATAAATGTGTCCAATATCTATCGATGAAGGAGCAGATGTGTGTTTTGTAGTGAAAGTAGCCATGGTTGCTCATTCCACTCATATGGTTACTTAAGTGGTTCACAGTTAAGAGTAGAACATGTACCCTGGAAAGATTGTTAGCATGTCTTTGTATATTGTATAATTAGTTGATCAGCACATCTTTTAAGAGGAATGGATCTAATGAGATTTAAGCTTGTTTTGTGTTACAAAAAAGGCAACACAGGTAAACAAACTTTATAAATTGCTTTTTTGTAACACAATATTGAACCAGTTTGAATCCAACTGTACTGACCATTGAATTTTGTTGCGGTTAAAAGTTTCTTCATTATTGGCGGAGCAATCCTGGCAAACAAAATCAAAGAAAACATCGCCAGATATATGTCCCGGAGTCCCCGATGTTTTGAGACACGTAACATGCACGAAGCAGAAGCAATTCTCGCATATTAGGCCAGGCTGAGTTTGCTTATCCTCAGGGTGATTGCAGTATTTACAAGTTGTACTCATGGTATTTTTAACTTAGAATTATTCAAAATATAAACATGTATGGTGGTCACAGCTATGTCTAAAATGTAATCGTCTGGGTGATTTATTATGTTTAGCCTTTGATGAAATAACGCCGGTATTTAATTTCACTGAGCAATGGTTTGAAGTTTAAGAAGTCTGTCAGTCGTCTGTCAGTAAGGAAGTACAGTGTATTTAACTTGACACTGGCAAATAGTTAATTCTTCTTGCCACAAATGGAAAAAAAAGTACAGTGTAACTGGCAAATAGTTAATTCTTCTTGCCACAAATGAAAAAAAAAAGTACAGTGTATTTTTCTAACTTGGCAAAAGACCACAACAAATATGGCCGATTTCAAACCATAGCGACTTCATTTTATTGAATGTAGCCATTGCCACAGATGCTATGTCATCTGATTGAAAAAAAGTATCCACTATATATTTACCAAACCTCAATACTCAAAATCACTTTAATGACGACTTATTTTTGATTTTTTTATGTCATTTCATTTAACTCGACGTTTGTAACGCATTACAGCGATGCGTGCATGAGCAGAATTTTCTATTGTCCTTTACTTTGCTTAAATCCCATCCTTATGTGAATTAAAGTAAATAAATTTTAATCTGTGCATTTACGTAAATAAATTTTAGGATACATACAAACTTGAGCAAGAGATTCAGGTTTTTACCAAGTTAATTTAAGGCAATTCATTAGCTAGATAAGTAATCTAGTGTCTCAAAGCGTTTTCGGTGTAAATCAATGTAAAGCTTCAAACAATATACATAAAATCACGATTTTATGTATATTGTTTTTTCGTTTATCAAAAATGCCAAGTAAGAAAAAATACACTATATGTGTTGGATCTGTGCATTTAAAGACATTGACAGGAGTCAAAAGTTGTCATCTCAATTTTTAATTGATAGACTTACATAAAGTCAGAAAAAAAATACTATAATATTAGTAATCTGTGGAACGGTGAAGGCCTTTTTAATATATTAGTTGTGTTTTTAGATACATTAAAAGCCAACCATTTAAGCATTTTGATAAAGAATTTGCAAAAATTATGAAGTTATTTAATTTAGATTTGTAGCAAAATAATATACTATAATAAACCATACTATGTATTTAAATTTAAAGAGCACATTTTTTATATTTTTTTTATGAAACGCCCTTACTAGATACCTTAAAGTAAAGTAAAAAAGTAATATTTAGCACTGTTTAATTGTTTTAAAAGAAATTAAATTCACTCTATTTGTATTTTGTAACCAAGAAATTTTAAACTTATTTTTTTGTATGAAAAAGTCGATTTATTTAAGGTTTAGTTCTCCATTGCTCTCTGAATTCTCTAATCCACTTGTCTATGTTTTGCCTGTGAATAGACCTAGCCATTTGTACTGATGCTGGATCACTTTGAGTACTCGGCATCAGATCCAAATGATGTGCTCCATCTATTATCACTACAGTAGTTACCGATTTACTGATGCTATTAAGTATTCCACCTGGAAATTTACACAAATTAGCACTAGTAGTAATCATTTACAATTAACGAAAAGGAAAATTATTCACGTCCATCGTGAACGATGACGTATTATCTTGAGGAAGAATAGCTTGTACATTTTCGATATTATGAGTAAGTATCTATAAAAAGTATGTTATCATTTTTACCTCCGACCCATGGATCTAGTAGGCCGTTACTAAAAACAATATTAGAAGCAGCCTGAAGCCTGTCGCCTCCGTATTCAATTCTTGCAGAATCTGGTCGTGGGTACACGTTGTACTTTTTGTGGCAATCCTCTGAATATGTAGTAAAATTCCAAGGAGAAGGTTCAAACATGTCATCTTTTCCTGTCGTGCACATTGGCATTATCATTTCGGTACACGCCTGTTAAAAGTTTACATTTAAGAATCTAAATAATCACAAGTAATTGCACTTTTGTCTCAAAGAGAATATCTGTGTTAAAAATATCTTAATCATATGCTATGCTTTTATTTTGATTATATGTATACTTAATTGTTTACCTGGTAATCCCACCCACTAGCGTCAAGGTTGCCATAATCACTTCCCTTTTTATAATCAACGCAAGAGCTTTTGCCATCGTAATTTGTAAAAGTCTGCAGTACTTTGCCGATGCCCTGAAAATGAAATATGATTGTATAAAGTAACTAACCAACACTTGAACATAAAAATATTTAGGAAGTGATGGATATAACGCAATCTTGAATTGATACGTACTTCAAGTAACTTCTCATCGGTAAGAGATTCATTTAAGAACTGGCATACGACTCGTACTGGCTGTGCTGGAAGCGATACGAGAAAGTCCGAGGGAAAAGGATAGTTCACCATTGCTAGCGTTTCGTACATTGATTGTAGGAACTGGATTAAAGTATCGGTATCTTTGCCATCTTTGATGGGATCACACAATTTCCAGGTCTTGTGGAGCCATTCGCTGGTTGTAGCATTTGCAACGTACTTCCTGCAAGTGAGTTATTTCTTTTATATTTAATATTATTTATTTAAGTGTCTTTATTGTTACTGGTATAATTAGTAGGTAATGAAAACAGATCTGCGCAAAGTTGTGAGCATTATATATATTTTCTAATTCAAAAAGCTGTATAGGTTTGCTACAAAGATTCTTTGTAGTTGGACAAAGCATTTTTTTATATCATTAAATCATACCTGATAAGTGGCCAGGAATGTTTAACATTTTCTACACATTTCGCGTTGGCTATCTTGAAGCTTGAGGTAACAATTCTACTAAAGACATCACACGGCACCATTCCAGGATACATATGAACTGGTGCTGATGCTGCTATGGCACCTACCACTACATGAGGGTATTTCATTCTGAAGTACGCTGCTAACATACCTCCGTATGATCCTGGATAAGGTTTAAATGTGCATGTAAATATAAATGTGCACCTTCTAATCTGATTAATTAAATGTCAGCTTATATAAATTTTGTCTTTTTACTTATTGTACCTATCCGGTACGGAATGTACAGGAATCCATAAGCTTGAACTGTCAAACATATTAATTACTATATAACAAAAAAGTCTAAACAAGAGTATTGTTAAAATAAAAGCTCATCTTTTATACCTACCGCCAAATGCTATTACTGGATATCTAGGATGCAACGCGCCTCCTTGTAGGTAGTCAATTAGTTTGGCGTAGTCTGCCAGCGCTTGCGCAGCTGTTAGATATCCTATGTGCTCGTTATCTAGAGACTTATTACCGAACGGCATCGATGATCCATAGTATCTGAAAATATTTTTTCCGTTATATAAAATTCGCTGAATATGAAACGCTCGTTTGATAATATTTTACAATCTGCACTAACCTGTGTTCTGCAAACACAATCTTAGCTCGATAGTTAGGTGCGATTTCCCACATAAAACCTGTGTGCTTTGCAAACAATTCTATTTGACCCTGCAATAATTGTTTACTATTATTTGTGACTGGATTAAAAAAAATATTAATGACCATATATTTTGATTGTCATTTAGGGTAGACAATAAAATATTTATGTCACTATTAGATTCTTAATTTATATCTTTATATAATGCATAACTTATTTTATACCTTATGTTATATTGTCTTATATTTTTATTTTAAATAATAAAATCAAATATTGTAGCGTCCTATTAGCGGTATCTGAGTTTACATAAACAATATTCTACTTGTTATCGGGTTACGTATATACTTTGTAGGTATTCACACTTCTAAAAGTGACTTTTCAATTCCCCAAATCTCTTTAATATAACTATGAAGTAATAAAGATAATTTTATGGACGATTATTAAGATTTTTAATAAGGTTCTAACGATATATAACTTACCTCATTGCCGGTATAGAAAAAGATAGGCCCAGAACCGCGGTCCCAGTTCTCATCGTTCTCCAAGTATTTTATGTTAAACGTTTCGTTTCTTTGGAAACCGAAGTGGTCAAGCGGCACCTTGAAGTACTTCGTATCATATTTGTAGTCGCACTGTACAGATCCTAAATACAGGAGAAGTAAGAAGGACCACATGACGCGTCCGATTTAGCTGTCGATGCAAACACTAATATAATACATTGCGGTTGATAAGAAGACGTCTAAGTGTCGGACAGTCGCGTTGAGATGTGGATTGTTTAGACTCGGGTAAAACGCTACACTAAGCAAATAAACTATTTTTTTAACAATATATCTTAGTTATACATGCGTTAATTAGATGATATTTGCTATTTCTAAGTTTAATTATTATATTGCTGACGTTGTACATGTTAAATAGTTTTAAACCTGTTAAAACACGAAATATATTTAGGTTGAACGCGCCATTACGACCCGATATTTCAGGTGCTTTAATATAAGTAAACTATTATTTTTCTCATACACGTATGTATTATGTTGATGTTGAATAGTTTCAAACAAAGCTTAAGAGTATGTTCTGGTGATTTTGAATGCGACGATATAAACATTATCATTAACATTTGACCCTCGCGTCCACAGGACGTTAGTCACAATTTGCTTTTCTTTGTTATATATTACATTCACGTTATATCGCAATGTTTTATCCTGTAAAGAATATGCTTAGCTACAGATGAAAAAGCTGTGAAGTTTAATCGCGTTTCGGTTTGGATTTCTGAATATCCAAAGTCAACATAAGTCGAGACAGCACATCTTGTTCAGATGTAATATGGCTGGGGTTTTTTCACCTACCATGAAGTGAACCTTATCCTTGTCTATCCTCTATCATAAAAAACATAATACGGTAACAATTCAGAAATCCTTATTCGTTTAATTGGTTTTCCACGTTGGGTTCATTAAGTTCATACATAAAAAACCACGTGTCTGTACTATCGAACTTAATAAAAAATATAGCTATAAATATATACTTATCATAACGACAATAACACTAGACTTTATATAAACAAATCTCATAAAATAAATAATTAGTGATTTTACAAACACCTACATTTTCAAAAACATACCATACATAAAGCGTGTAAAAACATATGAAGCTATGTAATAAATTATTTTAAATGTGTCCTAGCAATACTTATTATATAATAGATAACTAGTGACTGCAATTATCGATAAACGACAACAATAGGTTTCTATTCATTGTAACAAAACTTTTTAAAGAATATACAAATACATAATATAAATATCTACATTATATATCCCCTCCCCGTCCAGCGGCTGCTGCACATCCGAAACGTCGGGCCGAAGTTAAAAATCATTTTCAAATAAGTTTAACTAATATATCCGTTTTAAACCGTTAAATTTTTATTTAAATGTACTACTCGCGTAAACTATAGACAGTTTAATATATATCTAACATGAATTCATTGTATTGCTTTTAACCTAGTAATATCGTTATATAGTTTTAATAAATAACTAATATCCCACAGCTAGGCAGTCTTAAAAGCTAAGGCCTCTCTCGTAGGAGAGTGTTTATGAGTTCAGAGCCCACCATGATGCTCCAGTGTGGGTTGGTGGGTTTCACGAGTCCTAACTGTTAGAGATAATCTCTCTTCAATGGCAGTAATGGTGCCTTCTATATATACCAACTCCAGGTCATGTGTTTATTATTTTTTACATTTCTAACAACATGTAGTAATTAAATACTGTCTGTAGTTTACGCGAATAGTACACATTTAAATATAACACTGTAACGGTTTAAAACGCGATATATATTAGTTACGTCTCTATAAATAAATAAAATGTATATCGATTAACTAAACTCACCAAGGTAACACACCTGTGTGTTGATGATCACTTGTTACCACCGATTTATGCTAATGACAATTAATAAATAAATCCAATTACATTTATGGATTCCATTGTGAGTACACGGATGTTCATTCTACTCTTGTAACTAATAATAATATGACTAAACGTGAGTTATCTTTTAATATTTTGCACATGGCAGTGTATAAATTAAAAATTGATCGTAGGTTGAATAAATGTCTGGGCAGGACTTGAGCCAAGAACCACAGCGTTCAGTGCTGTTGTTCTAACCAATTGTACAAGAAGTCCATGCATCGATATCTCAAAAAAACGATAATGTGTAGGAAACGACAGCTCAATTGGTTAGAGCAACGAACGCGGAACGCTGTGGATGTCGTTTCAAGTCCGGTCGTAATTTTTTTTACGAGAGATCTTTGTCACCTAAAAATTCTTTATTAAAGCTGCATAGTTGAATCACCGTATAATATATTTAGCAATTAAAAAAATGAAAAAACTTATTTGAAAATCATTTTCAAATAAGTTTAACTAATATATCGCGTTTTAAACCGTTAAAGTGTTTTATTTAAATATAACTAGATTTTTATTTTATTTTTGTTTAGTGGTCGCCTCATTTTAAATGTAGGCAGTAAAGTTCTATATTCGATATTAAGAATAGTTACAAAAATAGGTACTTGCTCGTTACTCGTTCTATTATTACATACATTAAATAAGTTTATCTAACACTCACGTATCAGCAGTACATAGTAAATCACCGAATGATGAAAAAAAAGAAGAATTATCGTGAGAAGTATAAAAAGTCGGTAAGAAAACATCTTTTGTTTTCCGTGTTTATATTATACAGCGTTAAGTTAATCTAATCCTATTAAAGTTATGTCGAGTATAATAGCATAACTGAGGTATCTCGGTTCACAGGAACCACCAGTCTAATCACCGCCAGATCCGGCACGTGTTGTCCTTGGATGCAGTGATGATGGCGTCTCCAGCATACGAAAAGGCGCAAGAGAATATCTCCCCACAATGGCCTGAGAGAACCTGGAAATTGGTTAATGTATGTGAAGTGTCCTGGGATTCAAACGAAGGATCTTCACCAGTACAGAGGCGTGTTTTACTACAAAGCTAAGCTATGCCAGGGACTTCGTCCGCGTAGAATAGTTATTTTGAGCTTCTACATTTGTTTTTTCAAACTCGCTCCTCATCTTTATAAATTATTGCTGTTACCAACAACGTCGTTTGCGTCCCGACGTTATTTTAAGTTTAATAAAGGATAGACATACACTGTCACGGACATTTTTTAGATCATTTTAAAGAGGAATCATCCTTTCGTACATGTTGAGTTTTAAAGTAGGTTGAGTATATACCTGTAAGCAATTCCCAGTATTCGTATTCCATACCCTAGCACTACGATCTGCAGAAGCAGTCAGGAGACACCCACCAGCCGGACTAAAGCACACCTGTAACGGATATTACCCAAAGTTATAAATAATAATAATACATCTATTTATTTAAAATTAATTTAGTACAATACTGATGTATAATAAATATGTGATAGGTCAAGCTTTTTTATGGTAAAGGACAGGAACAGACTAGCGTAGGTTTCACTTGAGGGTAGGTGAAACACGGCAGCCATAAAACAACTAAAGAAGATGCGCTATCGACCCATTTCGGCTGTGTATATTCGGAAATCCACAGACTGTAACGCTATAACAGACACGATTAATCTTCACGACATTTTTACCTGTGGACCGTGGTTGTCGATCCTCGATCAGATTTTCAGATAAAATCCAACAAGTTTAAAAAAAATACTCTTGGATCCGGTGGGGAACGTTTACACCAACTCACTACTACATAAGTTGCTACCATTACACCAACGAGTCAAAATGAATTGTCGTCTCACTCTTACGATATTCTTCTAATCAACGCACTAAAATTAGTAAGAACTGAAACTGTTGTACTTCGGTAAGTTTTATTACTGACCTTCGAAACCTCCTCCCTATGTCCTCGCATGACCGCCAGTTCCTTGAAATCGGATCGCACGTCATAAATACGAGCTGAACAGTCACTGGACGATGTGGCCATCCGTTGACCAGCCCAGTCGAAGCATATATCTAGGACCTGTATTCTTACATGTTATGCAGTATATTCTTTATAAGGATAAATCTATATGTGCGCAAGATCCCAATTTCCCCCAGTATCAGTTTCTGTGTCACATCAGATTATACTTCCGTACCCTGGCAGACCGAAGCAATCTAATGTTTGCCTGGGATTCGAACCGAGGACCTCTCGCGCTTAACAGTAGCTAAGGTTGTGCACAGGCAACACGGTTAGCCATTGAGCTACAGTGACGACCACATAAATAATTGTGATAAAACTTTTGAATTAACACTTTTAACGGTTAAGTTGTAACATCCTCTAGTGACCAAGTGTCAAATGTCCTGTGAAATATCGGGATGTATTTGAATAAAACAATTTAACGATTTGAAACGCGAAATATATTAGTGAAAATTATTTTAAACACAGCCCGTTTCGGGATGTGGTTAAAACAGATTGTAAATAAGTTTAACTAATACATTTCACGTTTCAAACCGTTAAAAGTGTTTTAAATGTGTACTACTCCCGTAAACTGTCTGTACAGTACTGTGATATAACTGTTAACAGAATAGGAGGAAGAACAACCTCGTCCGTATGTCCTGAAACTGTAGCTAAACATTCAGTCTTTCTCGCGTCCCAGAGCTTCGCACTGCCGTCCAGAGACGAGGATCCTACCAATGAGCTGTCCCAATTAAATTGCACATTGGAAATCTCACCTTCGTGACCTCTTAGAACTGATACGCGACTGAAAGGCAAAAACTGATCGTTACTACGAAATTATTGAACGCCTTGAAAAATAACACGAGCAAAATCAACTAAAATCAGTTCTGTTGAAATATTACGCCTATCTATACTAATATTATAAAGAGGAAAGATTTGTATTTTTGTATGTAACGGGAAAACTCAAAAAGTACTGGACCAATTTTAATAATTCTTTTTTCATTCTTTGGATATTCGGAAATCCACAGACTGAAACCGAAACGTGATTAAACTTCCCGCCTTTTTTATCTGTGGACGGTTCGTGACCAGGACGGAATATCAATTTTTTACCACCCATTTAATATCCAGACGTTCAACAGTGAAGTTCAACATGTTTCAGAAAAATCTAAATTGATTAGAACAATGTTGAACCCGGTGGGGATCGAATCCACGACCCGTTGATTATCCTTATATATATTATATATCATTACACCAACGAGTCCGTCAAACAAACGTCAAGCAAAAATTAATAATTACTCTTTTAGCCTTGTGTCCCATATGGAGATGGTTCCGTCAAATGATCCAGTGATGAGACGCTGACCTTCATTTGGATCAAACTGAAGTGCTATCACTTCGGCTGTATGGCCCACGTAAGTGTTGATCTCGGAACCTGATTGTAGTAAAAAGTAAAGCAATAATATGAGGCAGTTAGAGGCAGAGTGGCCTAATAACAAAAACATGAAGTACAAGTCATAAAATTGCAGTTAGCCTACTCTTTTCCTAGCGGCCTCATGTTATCTGTATCGTTTACGTCTTTGGTTTTTATTTAAATGCAGAAAAGCGTACGCTCAATGAGAGATTCTAGGCGAGGGTTGCCAGGTGATCAGGAGTCGTAGGGATTTCGACTTTTTCAGCAATCTCCAGACTCCTGGACAAATCTCAAAATCTCCAGAAAAATATCTGTTATATTTCAAAAATTCCGTACGACACCTTTAAAATTGCAGCGTCCCATGCAACACGAAGGAAAATGGGATGCCATTAAGGATACCAAATTCTATCCAAGATCAAGTTTACAGTAATCGCTAGAAACTCATACTATCAGTAAAAGATTCCCAACTCTTGAAACTATTGACGCACCCGTTTTAACATCGAACAGCTTTGCAGTGTTATCCATCGATCCGGTAGCCGCATAGTCCCCTTTAGTGCTGAACTGCGCTGCGACCACTTCACCAGTGTGGCCCCATAAAGTCTCTAGGCATTCTCCAGTTTCTGGTTTCCAGATTTTTGCCGTTTTGTCAAACGAACCGGTTATCACGCGGTTACTGAAACCATTATAAAGTAAAGATAATTTATTTGGTTTTATTATTATCATTTTTAGATTGAAGACTTTTGACGACAGGATAGTTGGATAACTTTAATATTTTCGTCAATCTAAAATCGATTTTAAAGTTATTTAATGTGTTGTCATCAACATTCTTGTGTTACTTTAAAAATCTGAACTTGAACCTCTACTTATCTCTCGTCTACGGTATCAAACTTACCATGCTGGAAAATTAAATGCAACAGAATAGACAACATTTTGGTGTCCCGTAAGCGTCTTTAACTCTTGACCCGATTCCACGTCCCACACTTTACAAGTACGATCGTAGCTTCCTGAGAGGCATCTATTATTAATAATTACTCGGTTAATCTTTTATTTACTATAAAATATATTAAGATTAAAAGGAAAAATCCAGTGTAAATTAGTTCTAATAAAAAGTTAATGGCTTGAATCAAAAGCATTACTGCACTAACGATAAATAATATTATATTGTTTTTACTTGTCATTCGTTAATCATTTAGTGTGGGATAAAAATTTCAATTATTAGTAAGCGAAAAGTACCTACACTTAAAATAAAACCATTGTATACGTCAATTATATTTGAGGTAATACATTTTAGCATGACGTTTAGACATAGCAATTTGAATAATCACGTTAGACATAATTTTTTTTAAATTAAAACAATTTTAACGGTCATAATTTCTAAACATATACGAACAAGTTAAAATCTTTTCCCCCGTGGGGTACGGAGCGAACACATTTCTGTTATTTATTTTTTATTTACAGGCAAACATCGCAGGCCATAAAAATTGCAGTTAGGCTACTCTGCCTCTAGCGGCCTCATATATATGAACATTAAAAGATATTAATTAAAAAACGTTAGTCGTTTTATATAAAATCGTAAATGAAAGCATCACCTCTCGCCGACTTTGTCAAAGCACACATTAGTCAGCGGCAACACATGGGTTACCAGGGTCTTGTAGATGTAAAAACGTTTGCCTGTTGGTCCCTCGTGCTCAATACGCTTTTTAAGTGTTCCCAGGCACTGCTCGAGCTGATCCTTAACATCATCTGTGATCAGTACCTCTCGCTGGAATAGCTTGTTTGTCAGATCCTGTATGTCTGTGCTGTCATATTAAAGCCATTTAGTTATTTAAGCATAGGATTTTTACCAAACAATAAACATCAGGTGCAGATTGAGAAATCTATGTATATATCCCGTATGGGGAATTATACGCACGTGGTAGACTAATTTTATTTTTACTAGCTGTTACACACGACTTCAATCACGTCCCGTCAGACTTGCAAGCTAACGTTAAAGCTAAAAGATAGATAAATACTATGTCGAATGTTTTTTATCATTAAAAGAGGAATCACTAGTTTTCGCAGCGCATGTAACCAATTACTTGATAAATGCTCCAACCACCACAAAAAGATTTTTTCAATTTAAACAAGTATTTCCTGAGTTTAGCGCGTTCAAACAAACAAACTCATTATCTTTATAATTTCAATATATAACTAATTTACATTTTAGTCCTTTAAGATATAAAGGTTTTGTTTAGTAAATAAGAACTATTTTTGACTGTGCCTATGTGTAATTTTATTTTTCTTTCTATATCAATTTAAAACTAAAAATACACACAAGAATTATTGTATTAGAAAGAAGCCACTGAAATTTCACTTATCTAACAAATTACACATACTTGCTGTTTAAATCCAAAAGGTCAATATCTTTATTTTTCACCAAGCCTTTTTGAAGATACTCCAGTACCAAGCCTGGTGGATAGTACCTCAGGTGGAATTTCAGCAGCTTCATGGTTTACTATTTTAAATAGTTAACATTTTTATAAAATTTTCTGTATTGTGTGTAAATTGTTATGAAAATATTTTGTCAATAACTGTGTTGCTATGGTAACGAAATATTTTTTCACAACGGGTATATCATTTTGCTTAAATAATTTTTTTTTTAGGTCTAATGGCATACTACTAACATATTTTGTTTACGTCGGAAGTTCGAACACAAACTCTTTGTGTTGATCTCTTTTGTGTGTCTCAACTCCCAACATTTTAAGCCACTGATAAAAAATGTATTGTTCTGATAAATTATTTTTTAGTCAGTTTAATTTGGCATTGTATGCAAAATATTGTGAGAAAATAAACACTGCTATTAAAACTAGGTACACATTTTTATTCACATACGATTCACACTGTATGCAGAATTTTTAAGCACGAAATATTAATATACTAATATACAACAATGTCCTGTACATTTATTTTGTTTTAACCCAAAGACTAGATTCTCATTTGACCAGCATGTGGCAGAGACTTTTGACATAAGTAATGCACATTTAGGCGAGCAATACACGTTTAAATGAAACACCTTTAACGGTATAAAACGCGAAAGGTATTGTATATATTGGTTTACAAATTAAATGAATTCGATAAGTTTAACTGAAACATTTCGCGTTTTTAACAATTAACAGTGTTTTATTTTAATTTTGACGTAACTAAACGATTACCAAAGCAATCTTAGATAAACCGCACGTTAAATATTTGACCTAGCGTTAGTAGGTCGTGTGTGAGGACCAATAAACGGTGCAAAAAGCTTCAATAGGGTCGCTTTTCTCGTAAGGCAGCGAATCTGGGACGCCTCTTTTGTCTTAAGGAGCTTGAGGCACAACGATGAAAACTAAGGCAAACTGTTTTCTAAGTTTTCTTATTCAGGCATTTACTTACAATGTATATTGCTTATCATTATGACTGAATACTTCCATAACTTAATGGAAGAATTCACAACCACAATAGATCGACTGCGCATCGTGTTAGTTGTTAATGGCCAAGGTATTTTACGTTTTATCAATTAGTGTACCCCATGCTTATCTGTCCCCTATCCTATCAAAAAAAAATCACAAAATATCCTGAGCTTCACGAAAAAATATTACACATTCTTCTTAAATGCAACAGCGTGCTCTTGTATGAAGCGTCATTGAAACGAACACAAATGTGTGTCTGCTACATGCCACAGATAATGCGCGATTTCAAATATAACGTTAGGCATTGTAAACAAGTCATACTATTTAATTGGTTATCTTTTAATGCCCAACGTATGTGATCGGCGTAGGAAACGCGTTTTTTAATCACCAATACAATTAATAAATGACTCACCGTTATGGTTAGGTGTCGTTAAGTTTCTTGGTGTAACCAAGGGTAAAATCCATAATTTCCCTCCATACCTAGCCACCCTACACATCCGGTCAAACAGGTTGGTACGGTCCTTGACCGATCTAGTGATGTTCGTATGACCATACGATAAGTTTAGGTTCATTTCAATTAAACTTATCTGTTAAGCTAACGTGTAGAGTAAAAAACGTGAAGGTATTCAATAGTACATTTTTAAAGTAATAACAATCAAATGTATAATGAAAGTATTAGCACAATAAAAACCAAAAATTATAGCCTATACATGAGTGGAAACTAGAAATGACCAGTATAAAAGTACTGGTCGTGACTATACTCTTTTACAAAAACATTTTTAAAGAAAATAATATTAATATAACTATTATACTTGTATTTAAACGTGTTAAAAAGTAATATTAACGATGCTGAGTAAAATTCTAATTACCTATGGGAATGCATTCATTAACCGCCTTAAATTATCGCACTGAAGTAATATGTTAATCAATTAATGATAAACAATTATGTTACTTAATGTCTTGGGCCCAAATAAAGCAAGAAATACAGACAGGTAGGTACTATAAAAGCTAACGTCTGTCAGTTTTAAATATCGATATTGAGTTTAAATATAATTAAATAATATAAATACTATCTATAGTTTATGTAAGTAGTATACATTTAATTAAACACTTTAATGGTTTAAAACGAGAAATATATTGCAACTGTGTTTACGGGGTCTGCATCCGAAACGCACGGCCTTAGCTAAAATAATATTATGTATGTAAGTTTAACTAATATATTTCGCACTTTCAACCGTTAAAGTTTATTTGTAATATAATCTTTTAAACCTTATTATTTATTTCTTGCTCTGTATGCTAAGTGAAATCTGGCCCTAACTCGTACGCACGTCGTCGGATCGTACAGGCATTAGTATTCTGCGCAAACATCGTGAATTTGTGAACGTCACTAGCAGCGCGGGCGCCGTCAGTTTACGGTGTGCCAGGTGAAAAGGTGTACGCACTACGCTGTGCAGATTTAGCAGAATAAATTGTTTTAAAACCACATTTGCGCGGTTAACTTTTACTATCGTTGCGTAAGATGATTATGCTGTACCCGGTAACAGTGCTTACGTGTTGCTAAAATGATTGTATAAAGGATTACAAAAGGATGGTATAACCGAATCAGGTTTGTTTTTTATAATAACTTATTTAAATTATCTAAATTCAACACGAGAATCTTAACTGATATGTTAATGTTTGTCTACGTGTTTTTAATTATCGAAAAATACATTAAACGCAAGCCTTTAACTTGGCTTTTATTAAAAAAATGTTTTTCAGTTAAATTAAATACTAGATATCTAGATGACATCTATATATTATCTCTATTACGTACGTATGTACAACACGAACGGGTTTTAAAAAAAGTATTATTCAGTTAAAATAACACAATAGAAATGATAAATTATTGAAATAAGTATGATAAAATTTGTCGTCATTTGCATAAAACAAAAGCAGGTTCTATATAAGTGAGTAGGTTTAAGTAAGTTATATATAATAAATATAGTTAAGTTACCGAATATTCAACGCCAAAATAATAACAATGCTCTCTTAGAGTGACCTATGAGCTCTATCCTCCTGAATCACATACAAAAACATTATTCAATATCGTATATATAATAAAAATCTAAGACCAGAATATCAGTATACATGTAAAGGAAAAATAAAAATGTAACATCATAGGAATATTTCAAGGTAAGAAATTATGTCAATATAAAATGGCAATTAGCATAAGCAATGCGCATGCGCATGTAATTAAGTGCGGTGCGTTCTGTTTGATTCAGCTAGGGTAATTAATAAATAGAAACACAAATGTAATCTAAGATACACAGTTATGTATACAAAGTTTTAACGAATTTTCAACTAGTTTCGTCGAGCTGCTTTTGCTTAATTTAAAAAAGATTACATATAATAGAGATGTATACTTTAAAGTAATCTTTTTTATTTAAGTAAAACATTTTAACGGTTTGAAACTGGAAATTTATTATTTAATGAAAATTTATTACAACTCGTCTTCTCGGATGCTTTGCAACCGTGCTAAACACTACTTTTTTTTGCATTTTGAAACAGCGTTATTTAAATATTGTGTACTCCCGTAAAGTACGGACATTATTCTATATAGTTACTACGAAATTAGGCATACATTGTAATATTATATCTACAAACTGTTTACTCAAATGAGATTGTTCGTGTAGTATGTGAGTTTATTACTGAAATTTATGTGAGTTTTCATCTGCTATCTACGTTAAGCAAATGGAGAGTATCCGGCAATTAGATATAATACTTGTCGATACTTGTTGTTTGGACTTCGAAATGTAATATATCTTTTCTGTCCTGACAAAACACTTAAAACACTTCTATATTACTGAACGTTAGAAAACTTTTATATTTTTCACATGATATTGCTCATGATGGCATTATATATATATTAAAAATCGATTTAGCTTGAACAATACAATTTGGTTAGCAAAACACCACGGTACGCTGTAGATGCCGGTTCAAATACTGCCCATACCGTACATTTATTTACAATCTAAAATCGATTCTTCGTTTACATAACGTTAAGTAAATTTAAGTGTCTGCGTTAGGTAAGATTCTCTGTCATTTCGCGATAGACATTAATTTGCGACTTATATCGGTCGATCATATATCACATTTCGAGAATTGCCCTCCGGGAGCCATAAAAACGTGTCACTATCGCACCATAACGTCACTAATTAAATAGAAAGGCACGTGCAAGTATGCGCACAGGCATATCGCAGTGTCCTGATTCCCAGCCTTTGTTATATTGATGTTATTCTCAAATTCAACTTCAACCAATGCTACAATAGTGTTGAATACATTTGTCATCCAATATAGTACAACGTTATAAATAAGTAAATTGGATTTCTCATTTCATTGTATGTATTTGAGAGATAAATAGCTTGTTTTGCGTGACTAGGTATGCGAAAATCTGGAGTGCGGACTTTCCAATCTGAATACAAGAATAGCAATCAAGAATTTGGGTAATATCGGAAACCCTTGTTTAATATAATAGCATTTTTAATTAGCAATACAGTCGAAACTATAGGGTGGCAAGTCGGCAAAATGCCACGGGCCCCCAGCCCGAAGGGGCCCCTGGTCGGAGGAAATCTCAATGAGTTGGTTCAGCTTCTTTATATATTAGGGAAGTGGGAGTGCCCATTAGATGAATTTGCCACGGGCCTCGAACGGTATAGTTACGCCACTGAGCAATAGTGTACCAACGATTTGTAATGTTAGAAGGAAAAACGTTGACGAGTGCTTCCTGTCATTTCCCAAGCCTCTGAAGCTTATTTGTCTTCCTCTTTTTTTGTTCATTAAATAATTAATTATGCATATTTTATATAATTTATATTTTCTAATCAAAATTATGCGATTTTAATATCAGAAGTATGAAGTACTTGACACATAATATATCTAAATGTTTTTCGCAGATCAAAATGGCTGCAGTTGATGAGCCCGTTGGCTGTGTCAATAGAGCCTTCGAAGGAGCTGACGATGGCTTCCAAACCATAGATCTTAGAGCTACTATAAGAAGAAATGGTGCATATCAGGTTGGTAAAATATTTTAACATATTAATATAATAATACTGTATTTTTAGTTTTCATTTTAGACAGTCCTTCTGTACACATTTGCTCATAAACATATACGATTAAAAACATTATTTACTCGATCGATGAATGTACGTAAGCTTTTGTTAGTTTAAATATAGTGTAAACATAAACATATTTCTAGTTTAAAGCCAATATTCTATCACCAAGGATTCAAATATGCTTAGCCTTCGCTGTCTTAAAAAATATTTAATAGGATTCTCATGGAAACTTAAAAAAAAAAATTTAAAAGGCGAACGCAGACTTCGCAGAGTTTATTTTAAATGATCACCGGCGAATATTGTTAGTTTAAATTGTAAAAGCCATGAGCTCGTGTAATAAGCGTTAACGAGTTACGACGCAAACAAATGTTTCCACGTTTCTTCATTTCCCTCCAAAATAAAATATGGCGCACATTCAGTTTCACTTGGAATTAAAGTGCTCAAGTTTTCGCACGTGCGCAATGTAACGTGTAGATCTAGAATATTCAGAGACCACCTAAATAAGGTTGATTAAAAATATTGTAACAAACTTGTCATTAATGGGTGCTTTATTTCATGCAAAAAAGCACACTTACGGGATACTAGAAACTGCCTTAAAATTTCGCCGTTTCGTATACGCTGTTTCGTTCTTTTTTTTGGAAGCTAAGTACATAACAATTAAAATGACAGATCACAACATACGTAGACTTTTGTATTGTTTGAATAACAAATATTATAAGGTAAAAAAGGTATTTAGTTACCGATCCTTATTTTAATTACCGATCCTTAATTTTACGTAAAAATTTAAACTTCACAACATGTTTCCTTCTTATTTAATTAAAAGGAAATCTCTGTCATCGTTTAACCTGTCCCTAGTTTGTTTATATACAGTTGAATGCTACAGGCAACCTCAGTCTGCCGCGTGGGGTTGGTTGAACGAGTGTCGCCCTCTGGTGTCAACTTTACGTAAACTTACGGGATTATGTTTTGAACTTTGTGATCATTTTCTTCAACGAAATGGTATTTATTTTCTTTTTTAATTCTATCAAATAAGTAACGCATAGTTAACCTTTTAATTTTACAAGTACAGCTTGCTTTGGTTGTCTTAAAGTTTACAGTTTTAGTTTAAAATTTCTTATCGTAATCGAATTTTAATAGTTCCCACTTTTAAATTCACTCTTAACCTACAACGCTGGCTAAGTTCGTGTTGGCATACATAATATGTTGTAGATTTTTTTTGCCATATAGATATATATGTTGAATCAGGTAATATGTGTCCTACATATTATCATATATGTCCTACATATTATCATATAATCGAATATAAATTACATACTAAAATTACTTAAATAGTAAGAGTGTTAGATAAAAATAAAAAATGTTATAGTGACTGGTAAACTATGGTTCAAGTAAGATAAAAAGTACCTTATTTTTATAATTGAACATTATCTCCATAAAAAATAACCTACTAAACCAGATTTGATCGTGGAAATTTTAAGTTTAACAGTGACATATTAATATAAAAAAAGGTTTAAATAAAACACTTTAACGTTTTAAAACGCGATATATTAGTTAAACTTATTTGAAAATGATTTTTAATGTCTCCCCGTGACCAAGGCTGCAAAGCATCGAAAGTAGGGCCGAAGCAAAAAAACATTTTAAAACAATAATCGCGAAACGTCGGATTAAAGTGTTTTATTTAAATGTGTACTACTCGCGTAAACTATGGACGGTATATATAAAAAGGTTTTGCACTTCTGGTTACAGTTTGCTCACACTTTTTATTGCATTTTGTAAAGCAATTGATTAATTGAGTAGAAAGATTTGTCTCAAGTGTACACGTGCCTTTATTCAATTACTCTTATCAATGATAAGTTGATTTAAGCTCTATACATCGTGTCACGTATGAATGAACTAATTGGTCCTCGCTCCTTCTTCATACTGAATATGCATCCGGTTCATTGTGTAATAATATTATACGTTTAAGTATTTAACTGTCTTGGTCTAGTCGTTAGTAAAGTTGCAGGATCGAGGTCTAGGATTCGAGGCCGGAATTAGTGAAATTTTGTTTCAAAGGAAATATCCAATTTGGAAATGGATGTTATCCGCCCCATGTTTAGTTAGTATTGCATAAAAGAGAATGCCGGTGAAGAACAATTGTACTGTCGGAACAAATTGTTTAAGTGTCACGAAAGCAGTTCAAAACGTTGCGTAAAATGAAAGATTATAAAATAACTTACAACAAGGTCTAAAAACTAAATAACTAATAACTTTTGCTGATACACACGTGAAAGTGTTATATTCAATATGTTTTATTCGCACAATCGTACTTAATGAACAGAGATTTGTTTTTAAAAAATTATTCCATTCTCTCCTCTCTCGGTCTGCGGTCGTTATGTGGGCGAAATCTGATTGTACAGAGCATTAAATCTTAATTCAAACATAATATAAGATTATTATTAGATCCGGCTTCTTAACAATTTGATCTGTAACTTGCTATTGATTTATGTATTATTTTATTAAGTGACTTCCCAGAAAAGTTGTACCGCAAGGATGTGTACAAAATGACGTGTACGAAAGAAAAACGATTGCACCATTGCGGTAAACACGAAAGTGACAGTTCCTATCCTGAGAAAAAAAGAAATGGTCAATAGTGCGTTAAAATAATAATCAGAGTAACGGACGCAGTTGTGTCCGTACCAGTATAGCAACTCAAAATAAATAATCTTAAGTACATATTTTGTTAAGTATTTGTGGATAAATTTATTATTAATAAATGTGATTGTATTAAGTATTTGTGTATAATGATACCCAATAAAAGAAATGTCAAAATGTATCGTTTGTTAGCTCGGCCTCTAATGGGGCCCTAGAATATGAGGTTAGGACATTAGTCCCAACATAGCTGAGTGGACTTCCCTTTCGAGGCAACTATATTATTTTATTTTATCCGTATTTAGCCGTGTAATAGTATATATGTGATTCTTATATTCATTTTGTTGTTTTTTGAATAAACGTATGTGTAATCTATTTAAAACTTACTTATGGGAACTGAATGGGATGAGATTTCACTTTTTTTGTAGTTGTTTAAATGGTTATTGTAAATTATTTTTCCCAGGGCGAAGAAGACACATCATCACAGTTGTCACCAGAGGAGAGGGCGCTGAGATGTGGTTGGGGTATGATACGACCTAGCTGGCTTCAACGATTCCGAACGGCAAAGTGGGCTCTTTTTTGGTTATGCTGGGCAGGTGCTATACAGGGTGAGTTAGAATTTATCAAAATAGGTAGATAGGTAGACAAGTTGCGCGCGCGCATAATTCAAATTGTTTTTGTTACGTGTATATGACGTACCTACTTGTACATACAACGGTGACTTTACCTTATGTTGTGGTTATCGTTTTATTTATCATGTCTATACTAATATTATTATAACGCTGAATAGTTTGCTTGTTTGAACGTGCTAATCTCAGGAACTACTGGTTTGAATTAAAAAAAATTGTTTGTTCTGGTTGGACCATTCAAGGAAAGATTTAGGTTATACAACCAATAGTGGGAAATTGTGGAGAAAAACGGGGAAAATTGTTCATTTTTGACGGTGCCATCGCGTGCGCTACGAAAACAGTTCAAGATACCCAAAGATATGTGTAAAAGAATGATTGTCCTCTAAAAATTGTCTGCGACAATGTATCTATCTATAACTTTAAATACATGATGAATTTGGTCGAACTTACTAATAAAACGTATGCAAGTTACCTAAGATAATAAAATGAACTTGTTTCTTCCATTCCTATTTAAAAAGTGGATCAGCTATACAACTGCCACCCAATTTTCCTTTACCCTTATGGCATTCCCCTCAATAAAGTTACCTTAACAACGTAATTGCTGACAAAAACACCTAATATCTACGTGAGGGGACGTTTATCGGATTTAATTGACAATTTGCACGCAGAATTACCTTCGTAATACTATTATTGACTGGATAATGGCGCGATATTTCTCAATTTTCATGATTCCTTCGTGCAGATGCGAATTCGTTTTGGAGATAGGATTAGCTTTTTAACGATTTGTGTAGCATATAGAATATATATGAGGCTGCAAAAGACAGAGTGGCCTAATAACAAAGAACGTGATTTTCAATAAGGAGTAAAATAAAAATGCGCAATGAAATAAGGCGAAAATTAATATTTAAATAAAACACTTTAACGGTTTAAAACGCAATATATTAGTTAAACTTATTTGGATGTGATTTTTAACTTCGGCCCGACGTCTCGGATGCTTTGCAGCCAAGCTTTGCATGCTATCCAAATAAGTTTACTATATCGCGTTTTAAACCGTTAAAGTGTTTTATTTAAAAGTATACAATATAGCTTCGATTAGAAAGACCACAGAAAACTGATCGATCAATGAAATAGACACAACAGTGCTTTATACAAATTATTACTTTATTTTAAAGATAACTAACGCTGCAATTGTTCCAATTGTTGGGTAACTTATTTACTGTTAATAAGATATACAGCTACTTGCAATTGTAGTTTAAAACTATTTAAACTTAACTAGTTAATAACTAATAGTGACTTAAAATCACGTATTAACACTCTTTTTAATCTTTTTAAAGTAAGTTAAAGAACTACCACTGACTTTCAGTAAAGCATATGCTTTACTACAACGCTGTACAACTTGTAGCTAAGATTTATTCCCTAATAACAACAACACGATATAACGTGCTTCATAATTTCCCAGGGGAGCTGGGTGGACTTCGATAACGGGATATTCGTATTATTGGCTAAATTTCTGAACTATCACATATCAGTATTTAATATATTTTTAGTTTAGTTTAAGTTTTAAGTAGAATTTATCTTAATCACTCTGTCTGTAGTTTAAGCAAATATTGGACATTTAACTATAACTCTAACGGTTTAAAACGTGGTCAGGGGGACTCCCGGTCTGCTACAAAGATCCGAAATTACGAGCCGTAGTAAAAAAATAAATATATATTTTTGTTTTATACATAATAATAAAATTACAAATTTTTAAGCTTAATTTTTTTAAATTATATAATTAAAATTAAAAAATAAAATAACATGAAAAAAAAATTAAAAATTATTTTATTTTAAATTTAATAATTAAATTAAGCGTAAAAATTATGTAAGTTGGTATGTCTCAACTTACAGAATAATTCGTATAGTACATACCTACTAAAAAAAACACTTGATGAAAGTTGATAGGCCCATGTCATATTACGTCTAAACAAGTTGCGCTGTCGTCCTATTATGGCTTTGAATATTTAGAAATTCACAGACTGAAAGTGAAATGCAAATAATATTTTATGCCTTTTGTATGTGAACAGTGTTCTTGACGGTGGTAAAATCGGTGGAAATGGGTTACCTACCGTATTACCCATTTAAACATTTTCCAGACGCAATGAAAAGAAGTTTTGGAAAAAAACCAAACATACTTGCGATAAGCAAAATGCATTACCACATAACAATCTAACAGTCGTTTGCATGAATGTACCCACTACAGTGTTAACCAAATCGTTATTTTACATTGTGACCGCTCAAATACGTCTTATGAAATGACTTTAAATATCAATAATAATGGTTTTACATTGTGTGTTGAGGTTTGACATGCCATTATTTTGGTTTAAACTACCTCCTTTAGTAAATAAGGTAGTAAAAACGTCAGTAGCTTTATATACACTAAGTATAAACATTAGACGTTTGAAAGTACAAAAAAGTTGTCGAAACGACATTTCATTCTTAATTCAGTATGTATATGTATCATACAAAAAACGAAAAATTTCACTATATTAAATAAGACTTTTCTTTTAATGGTAAAGGAGGACGGACAAACATGGGATAGGTGAAATACCCCAGTCTCCAGCATCAAAACAAGATGCGCTGTCGGCCTATTTCGGATTTGGATATTCGGGAATCCACAGACTGAAAGAAACATGATTAAACTTCGGTTTTGGTGCGTGACCCCGACGCAATTGTGATATTATTAAAAGCCATTTAAAATCCAGATTTCGAAACGAAGTCCAAGTGTACCAGAAAAATTATAAAAAGATTAGAAAATGTTGGACCTGGTGGGGTTCGATCCTGCGACCCGTTGATTATTAGTCATACATTGCTACTATTACACCAACAAGCCTGTCAAATTTTCTAGCTAAATTGAATCAAATTTATTTTTTGGGACCACATTGGATAAAACAAGCTTACCTTTGTCGTGCTCTTGCATTAATTCTCTATAAATACGTGACTTATAAAACAAAATAGAGCACGCACGTTATTTTCAACGTTCATTGACTATTATTTAAAATTACTCAGTTGTTAATCACTGTTCTTTTAATGCGTCACCGATTTGAATAGCGTAATGTAACGTAATTGATCTTCTTATTCAAGTCTAATGGATTTATGTTTCGAATAGAAGCATGATAAGATGTTTTATTATGACAAAAAACCTAATTAATCATGCCAATGTTCGCTAAACGTTGAGGTCGGGGTGTTAACGGTTTAATGACTGGGATACATTAAAATCTCGCCTTTGAAGCCACGGTAACAGACAATTTCTTGTGACCAAGTCCTGACAAAATGTAATAAATATTTTCTGTCAAGAACAGAATCCTTAATCATTGTTAATAAATCACATCAATTGAAAAGACACATAGGTATGTCAATCATTAATTTAAAACAACATATTTTGACTATGATTTGTTTGATATGAAATAATAAACTGTTGTCACACAAAGTTGAATACTACATTAAAATCCATACACATCGATCGAGCTATAATTCTGTAATTAATATGCATGTGTATGTACTAAAAGATAGAAAACAATACAGAACTTATAATATAAAATCTGTAGAGACAGTCCCAAAAATTTGATTGACACGATTGAGGACGTTAGTAGGTACATATCGTATTTTAAAAGCCAGCTGCTAAAATTATTTAGTCCTTCTAAAAATGAGGTCAAGTTTAAATGGGGGGAAAGAAATGAAAGGAACGGAGGTCATCTACTAAAAGACAACGACAGTGACTAAATTAAACAAAAACTTTCGAATTTTTGCATACAGAGACACAGTTCATACGTACGTCGTTACTCTATATAATGTGTACATACACATATCGCGAAATGTTAATAGAAAACTTTACAGTTCGTTAAATTAAAAATAAACAAAGATAATAAAATTACGAAAAATTTCTAATAATTAATAGATTTGTGCGTTTTATCCTAACATGATTCTTATCAATTTATATATTTTTTTGAACATCTTGGACTTCGTCTGGAAATCTGTCTATTATATGAGAGGTGGAAATATCGAAAACTCAATGTGGGCTACGACCTAGTCAAGTGAGGTTTAATCGCGTTTCGGTTTCAGTCTGTGGATTTCCGAGTCAAAAAAGATTGATGTTGGTCACAAGGTAGGCTGTCGGTCGACAGTGCATCTTGTAAAGCGTAAATCGTATGGCTGGGGCATTTCTCCTTCCATTAAGTGAATTTAATGCTTGTCTATCCTCCTCTCATAATAGAAATATATAAGACAAAATAATAAAACATGCTTCGTTTATTAAAAGTCTATCGGACTATAGCTAATTTAGTCCAGTTGGTATAATCATGCGCAAGTCTGGCAATCAATACAAAACAATAATATGTAGTCTGTGGTTGACCTCAAAATTTCTTTCCACCTCTTAGTTACCGATTTATTATTTTTATTTTTGACGTACATCGAAAGTATTATCGTTACTAAAAGTGTGCATACTGCCCTAAATATTTGGTACGTGACTCCGCATTACATTGAGGTATTGTCTAAAATCCTGGGCCCAATTTATCCCTAAAGCTTTGAATAAAAGATTCATTATTTATATTATACGTTTTAACATAAAGCGTGGATTTGCTGTACAATTTGATAAATATATAGTGATTATTGAATCTCAAGATCGTTCTGGGTTCGAATTTGAAAAAAAAAACAGATTAAATTCGCAATAAAATTTAAAAGTTGTCAAAAATACCTTCGAACTTTTTGTCATCTGTAAAATTACATTTAGCCAACATGGTAGACATACGCCCACATAAAACCCGGGGTCCCAGCCGTGGGAACTCTACGAAAGAAAGAAGTAAAACAGACACAATAATCTATCTGCCCCACGTCTGGGGCAAATAGGGTTTCACTATTATATGAATTAAATGAAATAAATACCGGTTACTAAGAAGAACAATGAGTAAGATTAAAATGTCTCCTTCTGCGATCCTGTCGTA